TCAATGAAGATGGCGACGTTCAAGCTCGCGGACGGGGCGGACCAAAGCGGACTATCGCTACGTTTTTATGTGTTCGCCGTTCAAGGTTCGTCAGGGACGTAATCGGGGAATACTGCCTGACACTGGCTGGTGCTGACATTTGCCGTGGAAGCTTTGGCGGCGTCGCGAGGGGCCCCATATGGTGACCGCCGAGCAGCAAGTGCTCTCTTTGAGCGTTGCTGGCGGCACATTGTGCTGCGACGAAGACGTCACCGTTCGTCGGTGTGCTGCGAGTCGCATTCTTTGAATGCTATGCTACAGAGGCGATAATCGATAACCCGGGGCTGAAGGTGGGTGGGCTTCGCGCGCCAAGTGAAGACGGAAAGACGACGATCAAGAAGTTCAGCGATGCGAATTCAGCGGTGTTGTCGGCAAGTGCTCGATACACATTTTCTCAATGCGCTTGCACGAGAGCTCTCGGTAGAAAACGGGTGCCTCGTTCACCGTGATGAGTGTCGTGTGAGATAGTCGCACGGATTCAAGCTTACTCGTGATTGCATGTGTATCATCCAAATGTCTCGGGCCTCAACATCTGGAAATTGTTCTGCTGCAGCACGTTGTGTACGTTTTCATTTTACGATTGCAGGTTCAAGCTGGTACAGTATCTTGTCCTTTGCTTGTGTTGTCTGAAACGTTTCTGCTGCTTTTCTGCCACACCGGGTAGGGCGCCTCGTCAAGCTGCAAGCCATGCAGCTTGAGGTTTGACATTATATGCCCCATCTCCCACCTTTGTATATAAAGGAAAATAAAGAGATTATAAACTCAAATGACACCTCTTTGCTCTGAAGGCATAATTTTGGGTATTGTGCAAGACAAGTGGAATATCTCCACTTTTTTTTCCAACTTTTTTTTTATTACATTTTCAGCCTTTTTGGGATGCTATGCAACTACTATCTCCAAGTAGAGGCTGCATTAGCATATAGAATTTCTATCTAGTCTTGATGTGCTTTGGGACAACTGAAAAGGTTATGAAACATTCATGTCAGATACCGCCTCACTGTTGTGTGCAGGTGACAGCGACAAAACCCTGAAGCCATGCTTGCACACCAATTCCTCGCAACCCCAATGGATGCTCTGCTGCTCTGAGGCCAAGCTTAACAAAATGCAATGCTTAGGATTCTGTCGTAGAGCAGTGAATAGGATGCTGAAAAGCAGGTTCCGGTGGTTGCAAAGGTTCTAGGCACAGCAACATCATTTGACTTTCTGCGCAATGCGGGCTTGTGTAGCTCCATTTTGGGGCCTCTCCCTTGAGCCCCAAGAGTCCGACCCCGAGGACGGTGTAAGCTTTGACAGCAGAGGACACGCTGTGCAGTGCTGAAAATCTGAGAGGTGACCACCTCTGCAAGTATGTGCTGCCTACCAGGGTCTCCCTGCTCAAACTTGAAGCCTGGCGGCTGTTGAGGCTACTATGAGCTTTGTCTCTCGTCACATCTGCGAAATATACTTGTGTGTATCCGCTTGCAATGTTTTGTCATACTTTATAACTTGCCAAATCAAGTAGACATGGTAAGTCCCTTTGGCTGCAGAGTGGTCTACCTAAAAGATAGTTCAAGCGGAGTTTTGGTTTGGCACCTAAAAATGGAAGTTTATAATAAGTTGATGTTTCTGAAAAAGCTTTTTAACACAATGTTTTTGGCAGGGTAACCTTGCAAAAATGCAAACCGCATAAGCGAAACGTCGAGACATTAGAATAGAAAATAAAAGAGGGCCTCCTCATAGGTGGCATCTTGTTTCCCATTGACTGCATAAGCATTCTGGCTCTAACAGTATATTGTTCCAAGCATAGAGGAAGAAAAAGTAAACAATTAACTGTGGTTGCTGGTATCCGGGCGATTGAACTTGCACCGCCGTGTCACCAATAATTGTGAAATTTCTGGTTCCCTGTATATGAAATATACATCGACATCTGAAGTCGAGATACGAGTCCCGGCACATAAACAATTGCACCGAGATTTTCTGACCCAGAATTTGTATTCGATGTATGACAATTTTGTCGGGTATGACCAAGGTAGTGCTGCAAACCTTTTTTCCATGCTATACTGAAATCATGAAAGACGCAAAATGGTGCCTATGGAGCATATTTTATTGTGCATGGAAATTCTGCACCCCCATGAGGGTGCAGAATGTGGTCAGTGAAGATGACAGCTGGCTATCTGCAGCTGCTTGTCCCTCCACAGCCTGCAAACAAAGTACACGAAAAGGGTGAATGTTTATAAAAACAAGCATTTTTAAAGACTATGTTACAGAAATTGCATAGAACAAGAGAATCCCAGGGGTGTGGTGAGCAGTAGTGTAGCAGTAGGGAAACAGGACCGGAGGCACCGTCTTTTTACTGACACAGTCTCATTAATTGGATCTGTGTCTTGTCCGACACAAAACTCAAGTAACCATGTGTGGATTGTCTCTGCACCATGGTCTTGCTGAGGTGTCACCTTGCTAGAAACATCAACACGGTTGGACCTACAGTCACCTTGGGAGCTACCGACCAGGCACAATAGGTTAATGACAGCATCTTCTACATAGTTATGCACAGTGCAGGTCATGTTCACATTTTTGTGCAATTGCTGAGATAGGTACAAAAGCTGTCACTCTGGGCCACTGGAGCCAGCGCAGTTCACCATGATCACAGTGTAGCAAAGCTGCAACCCCACAACATCAATGGCCACCAGCATGAGGCTACCGACGGCACTCATGCATAATATATGTCCTGACACTGGCGCAAACCACGTATTATGGAGATGAATCCAGACTGTTTTTTATACCTACCATTTGGTGGTGGTGGAGCTGCCATCTGTGCTGGGTCCTCACTAGCACCTTTAGCCACAGCAGATGAGTCCTGCATCATCCAATCAAACACAAGTTAACGCACAACACATTGGCAGCCTTTCTGGTTCCGCGTTGATGTAATGCCCATTACCTACACTTTAGAATTCAGGTATCGGAGTGCCTCATGCACAGCTCTAGAGAAATTAACTCGTCAGCTTGAGCGCTACGATCCGAGCTTTCAAAGAAACATCACGAGGCAGCACACTCGTGTAAAATCAATAAGACCAAAAACAACACAGTGTCTGTTTACTACAAGTAGCAAGTTTTAGGAGACCGTTACCGTGTTCTGCGGTGGCCACGGTACGGCTGGTAAGGCTTTAAGCGCGCTGAAAAGCATGCTTCGAAGTTACAGCGCGAGCTCCCAGTAGCAATTTCGCTGCGCACGGCAACGGTACGCTAAAACCGCCCATTGAGATGCCATGCACTTACTTACCGACACTGCAGCCGAGATGCCGTGTGGCGACGGACGAGGCGCGCCCGCCCTCGAAATCATGCGCCTTCTTCCGTGTCTTAGCGAGGAACCTTTCTCATATGGGCCAAGATTCTGTCCTACTCCTCGAGTTCAGCGAGGACACTTGGTTCACGTCCCCCACCAGACTGCCGAATGGTAATCGCGACGTGAAAAAGCCCGACTTGACAGCAAAAATTCCAAAAGTGAGGCAAATCTTCGTACAGACACACGAGCACTTTACGTGCGACATCCACCGTCGGCCATGACGATTCATCACGATCGCGATGCAGCTCACGCATTGCGATCATCTAAATTGTTTCACTTACGTAAAAAGACATGATTCATGCGACCTAGACTTGACACCGGTAATTATATTTAGATTGTACCGCATTATACATTTTCAAAAGTTAAAAATGTTGCTTTTACAAGACCCTTCGATGCGGCGTTGCGCATTCCCCTCTAGGGACATATTTTGGGGACAAATCCCGATGAAGTTTCAACTCAATCGCCACTCTCCGTCGACGTCATCAACGCGCCGCGATGAAGTTCCCTGCCAGTTGAGTTCGCCGCCGATTGAGATTAGGCTCCTCCCACCGGCGACGTCACGATGAAGTTTCTTCATCGCTTTTTCCAGCATAGACAGACGGGTCTGTGAAAAAACGGGTGAGCTTTTGTCCGGTTACCGGTTCCAGAGCCCATGTTTGTGAAGCACATCTAAAAATAAATGCGAGAGTTTGTTAATAAAATAGTCTTGAGGATACTATGTGCCTGTTTGCTGACAAAACTCGCAGAGACAGGATTTGCTGTCTTTTTCGTCGAACGCAATGTTCGATTACATCACTTGCTTAGGTACACTGCAGTGGTTAATTAAACCTTCGATGTCGGCGGCGGCAAAAAGCTACCCTACAGACGACACGTTGAGCATCAGCGGCGATGCCAACTCCACTTCACGGCCTTCCTTTTTTTTTCTTTGTTGCATCTGAGGTTCATTTTTTCTTTTTTTCTGTGCAGAGGAACTTGGGGGATAGTTTTGGGAAAGTCGATGCTGTCATTTTGCCAGGGTTGATCAAATATTAATTTACCGGCGAGGGTTGGTGTTATGGGCATACCTACTGCATGGCCGCCAGCCTTTCCGTAACACCTGCACACCCTGCAGGTCCCTACCCACCCAAAGTGCAATAAAATATCAATATCAATATATCACATCCATCAATAATGAAACTTGAGTAGCATGTATTGGAGTGGAGCAGTATACCGCTAAACAGAAAGACTTCATGCGTCTTCGCGTCGAAAAAAGAATTTAAAGTGTCTTCAGAGATGAAAGGCATAACAGCCTATAGTTTTCTGTTGAATTTGAGTCATCGAAAGTCAGGTAACAATAAAGTTGCTTGAATCACAATCAGTGGTCTCTGCCCTAAGAAAGCGAAACCGAAACTCAAGTAACTTGACGCTACCAAGATGGCCGCTCACATAGTGGTAGTGCTGCTGCCTGACCACCAAGCAGTTTCGCATATCGTCTACAAAATGTGACTCCCCTCAGGGATGCACTTGAAAATAAAACATGTATGTTCTTATATCTTAGAAAGTACCAATAAATATGTTTAGAAACAGTATTTTTGGGTGGGGCTATTTTGGATGCTTTTTCTGCCAGTCTCTTAGCGGTTTGTTGGCCAGACTAGGCGAGACCATCTGGCTACACTGCTCCGGCGTCGTCCAATTTTCCCTGAGTCAGTGGACCTTTTGTGGATGCGGGTCCGAAGTTTTGGAGTAATTTAGCTTCGAAGCTTCCTGAAATGGTGCAGTCAGTCATGAACATCACATCTGCAGGTAAGTGAAATTTAAGTAGATCAAAAGCGGCCCAAACCCTTGCCTTGCGGTGAAGCGTACCATGAGGTCTAGGAGTCGTGCTTCGAAGATGACGTTAGAAGTTGAGCATGCTCAACGAAATGTCGTTCCTTCGTGTATTTTCTGGAGGCGGATGTGTTCACGTATTAAATATCTGCTCTAGGGTAGAGTCACTCAATGACTCGCTACGAATGCAGCAAATTAACGAACGAGGCGTTGTAGAAGTCGCTCAGCGTTCAGGTAACTGCGTCTTATGACGATGTCTGTTTATAACAATGAATCTGAAAGAAATTTCGAAATTCGCAAAATACGCAGCCAGAAATACGCAAGAAAAAAAAGAATGTGTGTCGGAAGTCGTGCTTCATTTAAAAACACCTTTGTCATCATGAAGTGACGGAAGCCGCACTCCTTGAAACAGCAACCAACGTGAGTAAAAGGGATCGATGGCTGTTTAAAGGGATGGCATAAATCGGTTTCTGAGCGTATCGTGCTAATATTTTTCAGAGGTGGCTGCAGAACGTGCATAAGTCAAGTCAAAATGTGTTTTTATTTGTAAACAAGATGTTAGATTATATAGCTTTACTCTTAGATAATAGACCCTTTCCGCAATTCAGACTGGCACCTTTCGTCACTATCATCATCTGAAAAATGGCATATGTGCTATACTAATTGCGGCCTTCTGTTCACTGATGAAGGAAGAAGTTGAAGATGCTCCTAAGCAGATGAATCGTGGCCTATTCATTCTAGACGTTAGCGCGACGTGAAGCAGGGATTGGATGGAAAAACTGCATAAGCGTTCATTTCTAACTTGGGCCCAGTCAATATGTTAGTTGCAGAAACTTTTCTTCAAAGCCCCTTAATGTATAGAACTTTATCAAAGTGTCTATGTGGGTCGGCGCTTCGTTCTGACTGGTTGAATTTTTTTCGCCATTGACACTGAGATTGAAAAAGGACTGTACAGTGAAGCGCACATTCTCGTTTACCGTTGACTTGTGAAAGTGACGGTGCCCCATAAAATACTGCAGACCCCAGGTTCATTGCCGCAATTAGTACGGTAAAAGTTAAACTGCCATTTGAGTCGCCAGATGGCACTGAATTCCGGAAAGGGTCTATTACACTTATTCAGAGGGGGTCCCAAAGTTTTCAAAGAAAAGTGTTGAAGGGACCCCTTGGTAATAAAGGGTTAGTCAGCGATCAAGTTGCACTATTACATTAAAAAAAAACAAAAAAAAACATTCAGCCTTTCCACCCTTGTGAAGAAGGAAGACCAGCGGAGCTGTACTCGATACACTGTGTGCTTCTTCTTCGTCATCGTCTGTTTTTTGCGCTGTTTCTTACGATGAACTCCCACCAACGCGCCCAACTATCCATTCTTCTATTATAGCTGGAAAGGTTGGCGCCATCTACGAGCGACGGCGGAAACCATACTGGTTGTGTGCTAGCCGCCGTTGCTTATAGATGGCGGTAGCTATCCAGGTAGGTTTGTGTCGACATACCGGACACGATCCTGGGGAATCTAGCCCTTAACAGCTCCGCTGTAAAAACGAAACATGATTGCGGTATGTACCGTCAAGCACGGAATGAAACCCGAACGCCGGAATGCGTGGCCATCGACACAGGCTGCTCCACTTGGAGGGCCCCTGAGAACTACGGGTCCTACTAAGATGTGCTCGACCCTCGTGCGGCATGTCTGGGACTTGCGCGTTTCGCCGGTGGCGCGCTGTAAGTGCCGTCACTCGGGGTGCTCTTGTGTTGCCGCACTGTCACCCTGTCGACAGAGGGCGGCCGCTTAACCTGGCTATAGCTCTTTGCGATAGGCCCTGCTCGACAGGGTGATGAATTTATTCCGCTCCGGAATTGATACGCCTGGCATATCGGTGGTTACCAAAGAGAGCGTCAGCGAGCAATTTCTCGCTTTTTATAAGAATCGACTGATATCCTCGCACGAACCGCGTCGGTATGTTGCTGCATTTTTTTTTTCATAAATATACACAAACTCAAATCTGACTTCATGGCGCGGTGGTGGCGCGTCGGTCGCACTTCCGGTCTGGGGCTGTGGGCAGAAGTCCCCATGCCAGACGTGTATTCCTGTGTTTTTTTTAAAGGAACCAGACAAAAACCTGCCTTCTTGTCAAAACACCGCGACTGGGGCCGTACCAAAAGTGTCGAGAAAGGTTTGAAGGTCACGTGCTCGGTTCATCCGAGAATCTGGATATGTGCCGTGAAAAGGGAAAAGCAGACGCCGTCGGACAACAATTATTGCTTGGGCGGGAAGCACTTTGGGTTGAATTCACGGATACTTGTGGTCATCAGATTTTTGTTTTGTTCCAACATGAACGCCAAAAAACCGTCAAGTTGTGCGGACCACCTGCGGACTACGTTCAGTGCATCTTCAAGTTCAAACGGCCACCTGATCGTTCGAACTGTCATCTGCTCTTTCAAACGTTTCTGCTTGTCGTCTGCTCTCTTAGACGACGCCGGCCCGTAGACCAAATGTTGACCTGGTACTTGCGGTAATATGTAATTGCAGTCCTCAAAAGACTTAACTTTGAAGGTTGGTAAGCAGGCTCGATGTAAACAGTAGATACAAGGAGATGTTGATCATTGTTACCAGTCACCATCACCGACTTATCCCTAATTCACTTGGTCCAATTCTGTTTGCGATTTTCAGTATCGACGTCCACCATCTCAGCTACGGTTCACGCTTTTGCCGCCCGAGTGGCGTCGCGTCTGAAAATTGCGAACGAAATCGCATCATGCGATTCAGGCTAAGCGTACATACTGCGGCGTCCACGCGGAATGAATCGCCACATGTCACATTATTCACGCGAAGTTTTGTGGTGTAACGAGCCTCGGTAATTTCGCTGACGTCGCTCAAGTAGTCAGACATCGCCAGGAAGACGTAGAATCAACAACTTGAATGCGAAAAAGGGCAGGGGAACTCACACCGACGCCGACAACATCGCATTTCAATGGTTTGTTTATGGGTGACGGCGAGCTTCTTGCCCACACCCCCGTCGCGCATGCGCGGCGCCGGTGGCGTCTGCTAGGGGCGCTCCGGTTTGTTTGTAAACATGAGTTGGTCTATATGGTTGTGCCAATAAACAAATTTTATTTCGCTTCTATTACTTTTTACTATTCAAAAACCGCACGTGGCACACTGTTCACTGGAGCCTCCGCGTGTAACGTATTGAAACAAGGCTCAAGTCACTACAATGCTGAGCGCGATTTAGTAGACCTGCATTATGGCATTTGCAGCGAGGCCTACGAGCCTGAAGAACAAGAGAGGTTAATGGACGAGCTCTGGGAGTGGACGTATGAATGTGCTCATATATTATATACTAAATATCTGTAGTAGCAACCTTCAGTTGGGTGTCAGCACTCGTCATGTGTCCCAACTTGTTCTTCTGTCTCGTACGTGTTTTGCTATAAGTACTGCTAATTGTAAAATTACGATACTTACAACAAACAATAAAAACTGTGCACGCCAGGAGGAGAGAAGACACCATGGGCATGCTACCCTGGCACACGCGCAAGCAGCTTGCTGCTGCTCCTAGCATCGACCTTCTCGCGCGGCGCGCAAGCCGCAGGTGTCGACCAGGTGACAGTGCGGCGACACAAAAGCACCTTGAGTGACGGCGCTTGCAGCGCGCCGCCGGTGAAATGCGGAAGTCCCAGGCACGCTGCGCGAGGGTCGAGCACATCTAGTAGGACTCGCACCCCGGCGCATTTTCATTAGTTCTCAGGGGCCCTCCAGGTAAAGGAGCCTGTGTCGATGGCCGCGCGTTCCGGCGTTCAGGTTTCATTCAGTACTGACTGTTCATTATAAAAATATAAAACCAACTGAAAAGCGAGAGAAGAAAAGCTAGAAAGTCGAGAAAAAAGAAAGACTATATCAGTCTGTGTTTGTGTCTGTGTGTGTGATTGCGGGATTGTGTGAAAGGTGTGCGAAGGAGAGAAGAATGAATTGGGAGAGGGGGGACATAGAAATTGTTAATGAATCATGCAGATAGTATGTGTGCACGTATAGCTTGTTTAAAGATATAGAATGATGACATGGCAGTTAGGCTGTGTGGTAGGGAGTTCTACGTTTTAGTAGCAATGTAAATGAAGGTAAATGTGCCATAATTAGTTTGTATGTATGGTACAGACAGTGACGCTTAGGAATGTGAACGCAGAGGCTACACGACATATTGATGAGTAAAACTAATTGAAGAGCATGTTATCTGATTGGTGATGAACTTAAATGTTAAAATGTTGAGGAAGCAGTATGCTAATTGAGCACTTTCGTGCCTATTAACAAATAGCATTGCTCGTAGTGCTGTCTTCTGGGCGATTTCTATGGGTTTTAGTGTTATTTTATATGTCAATCCATAAATGGATAACCCGTACGAAATGTGAGTATGAATAAAGCTATGATAAAGCATTTGGAGGGTTTGTAAGGAAAATATGTGCCGTAGTTTATATAGAATTGGTATATTTCGGTATATCTTGTTAGTGGTGTCTTTTACAAGTGTTAGTCCTAAAAATTTAGTATGGTACACTCGACTTAGGTTCATTTTTGCAAACGAAAACTGAAATGTGTTTAAAATTAGTTTGTATTTCGGGGCAAAAATTATGTAGTTTGTTTTTGCTATATTGGGAACTAATTTGTTATGAGTTAGCCTTTTAGCTAGCTTTTCTAAAGTGTTATTAGCTTCCATGTATAGTTTTGTCACACTTGTATTAGATATAAAAATATTTGTATTGTCGGCATAAAGAACACAATCTTTCTAGAAATAGGCTGCCAGGTCATTAATATATATTAAAAAAAGAAAAAGACCCAATATTGAGTCTTGCAGAACACCGATGGTAATAGGTTTAGTTGTTGAAATAGTGTCGGCTAAAGCTAAATAGCTAAAGGCTATAACAATTCCACGGAACAAACTTGCCTGAGTGAAAAGTTAGAAATAAAAAGCTTGAAATCCCTACCTGCGGCTGGTGTGTGCCAACCAAAGGTGTCTGATTTGCGCAACAGCCGATAGTGTTGGCAGTGGTCTCTGCGTTGACAAGTGGGGGTCGACAGTGAAGGCACCACAAATACTGCCTTTTCCAGCTTCGGTGATTACATCGCTGTTGCCGGTAGCTTGTTTTAGAGATTTCCTTCTCCGTTGAGCCTTGCCTCACCCGGCGTAGAATTGTAGGGTAGGTCGGAGGTCGCCGCCGAAACTACGCTTGAAATTGCCGGTGCACCTCGATTTGTCCTCTGGCACTCCCCGTCACAGAGAACGACCTTCACTCACTCGTTGGGAGCTAAGCGCACCATGGAGATGACTTGCAGCCCAAAACAACGTTGATGAGAGTTGCAGACAAGAAAAGAGATGTGCTAACAACGAGAAAGTGTGAAGCAGACAGCGACATGTAGCCGAAAATAATTGTTGAAGAAAACGTGACAACCCATCTGTTTTGTTGTTCTTGTTTTATTTTTATTTTTTGTTTTATCGTTAGAATAAAAAAACCATGCACTGAAAATTTGTGTAGAAAAAAAGCGCGTTAATCTGGCTCAGAAATGTCGTCTGCTATTTCCGAGGATGAGGACTGTCATACGAAGAAGCACGCCTCAGACAGTGTCTGAAGACTGTCTCTTGAATGATGTATTAGCAGCAGTGGCGTAGCCAGAAATTATTTTCGGGGGGTGTTTCAAGGTTCTGGTACAAGCACACACATATATACATACCTTCCAACTCTTCAGAATCTCTCATAAAATGTATGAATTGGGACTAATTTTACGATTTTAAGGGGCGATAGGTACCGTCTGCGGCAGCGTCATGGTTTCTGCTATCTGTCTATCCGATGGCCACGAATCCCCAATTAATCCAAAGCCCAAAGCCTTTGCTCGTGTGTTTGGTGGCGCACACTGGTTCGGCAAGGTGTTCAGCCGTGCTTCGGCTTCGCTGTTTCGGCCAGTTTCTTGGCAAGCAGTGCGCCGTCTTGTAACCGTTGTTGTGTAATCTTAGCATTCTGCTAGTCGCGGCAACTTCGCGACGCAATGGCGAACGCAGAACCTCAAAAGAGGTACTTTTAGGTGTTCCTGAAGTCCTGCATGTTGGAATTCCCGTGCTTCGTGCCGTCCCAGAAGGGGAAGCAGTTTGGATTCTGAACCATGTGCACATGTGATGTAAGCATTTCGCACGGTGGCAAGGCTGACATTAAGCTTTCGAAAGCAGTCAAGAACTTTGTAAAGCAGGCGAAATCAGCATCAGAAAAATTGCTGACAAAATAAACCATTATTCATCCCGAAAAGTACCTGCCTCTTACTACTACACACCCCCCCCTCGCGGGCGCAGGAGTTCTACAAATTTCAAAGTCCGCATTTTGGCAGGTATGTATATATATTAAGGTAAAATTTCGGGTGGTGTTCTAACACCTGAACACCCCCCCTGGCTACACCCATGCGCTCACGCCTCTCGCTTTGCGCCGCGGGCTGATTGGCTCACTCGGGAGGGGGGCGTTACGGCGGCGAGATCATAGACTGGCCAAACTCTCCCCATATACGGCTCTGCCATAGAGTGCGGTGAAACGCCATCTAGACGCTGCGCTTCAAAACATACCTATTCCTATTCCCTAGAGTACACTGCAATTACCGTTGTGGCCACTCCCAAAACAGTAATGCATCATTGACGGGAGGCAGGCCGTGGGGGAGAGGTGTACTGCTCGTGGAAGCAGGGTCTATGGGAAGTTCCGTAACTGAGCTAACCTAATAATGTTGACAACAACTGACTCCACTGCACTGATCTCTAATAGCCCCTTCCCCTGGCAAATAGCGAGTGCTCGCCGAGCGGATTCCTGTACTCCTCGTGAGATGCGAGAAATCTCTCCTTGTGCTGCTGGTACATCGAGTTGGTAGAGAGCTTGCCGAGCAGCTTCAACCGGTCCACGGGGAAATGGCAGGAGTCGTCGAGTGGTTTGGAGAAGTTTTCTGCTCTGCCTTTTTTTGGAGGAGTTTGACCCATAGTCACTCGCAGCATCTCAATTTCTATCCTCGCATTAGCTATTTTGTGGCAGCTGCAAAAGCAATTGTGCCAGTAGCACCTGACGGTAGAAATATCAGAGAAAAGCTGTTACAAGCCTTGTTACGAGCTGCTCGAAAATCGATGAAGTGATACAACGCAGTGCCGAGGTGTCAGTGTTCCTGCCAAACAGACAAAGTTGTTATCAAGAAGTGTAAACAGTCATTCTTCTTCGCGGTAGGCTTATTATTCGGCAGGAAGGGTACGTCGATCAGTTGCCTTATAGATGAGGCAGTAAATAATTGCCGCGCTAGTCCAGCATGATGGCGTTTGTGCCGTATTGGTATCCAAGCGTGCGAGAGCACAGAGGTGCAGCACTTCAACGTGTCACGGCACATCCTTTGACCACGTCGCCCGACTTAGAGCGTAGAACTGCAGGAAAGAGGGGCAACTCGTTGAACGCAAATTGCAACGAGTTGTGCCTGTTTCCTGCGGTTTCTGCACTTTTGTAAAAATTTGCACAGGTTTTCAAAGCCAGTCATGACCATTTACACTGGGTTTTCAAAAACTTCTTCGGAAAATGATGGCGAACGAGCAGAACACGCATCTTTCAGCACGCAGTCGCCCAGCCTCTGCAATGCTTCACTCGGCTGACTTTACGCAAGTCCAAGATGACCAATTGAAAACTTCCGGTGTCCGCACTTGCGCTGCAGTGACCAAGCGGTGATGCACAATCCAGTAGATTTTTATAGAGATTGGTGCTCTGCAGGGTGTGTTCGAGATATTCAGACATAGAAAAGAAAGCCATATAAAGAAGCCGATGAACAGACTGCAACCCTACTCACAAATGACACCATATGAAACAAAAACTTTATAAAGCTTTGAGGTAAACACCCGAATGCAGCAGATCAAGCGTGTGGGGTACCATTTACGAATAGCAGCGTCAACCAGAAGTTTCGTTTCTGTTATCTTTTTATGCTAAAGAAAAACAATTTTTTTTTTAAGCTTAAATTTACGAGATTTGAGTCGAATATATCTGTCACCTAAACACACATATTTTTAGAAGTTTGATTGTTTGTTCGCCCTTTTTCAAGCCATTGTGGATGTTGAGGGTATTTGTTTTCTTGATCCACTTTCTCAAGGTTCCTTGGAGCGAACTCTACGGTGATCTAAAACGATTCACTAAGGCAGCTAAACTGTCCACCCGTGTTTTCCGCTTCTCTTTGCAGCGGGGATCATCTCCCTGCTGGATGAGAACCAGACAGAACTCAAGGTGTTTGCTCTCAAGAAGCTCGACAACATTGTCAACGAGTTTTGGGCTGAGATTTCGGAAGCCATAGAGAAAATGTGAGTATCCTCGTGTTTGAATATACACTTTTCAAAAGTGGACGCCATCTAGTAGCTGCTGCACATACTCTCAGCATGTGTTGGGCTGCGTCAGCATTTGGCGTGAACTCTGCTCGTATTGAAAACGAGCACTATGTCAGCCTTTGCCAAGGACTCGGATCCAGTGCGTCTTGTGCTCACTGGATGGATGGATGGGTGGATGAATAAATGCTAACAGCTGTAGCCTTCGTTATGGGCAGTAGCTTGTGCCATCTAGCCTAGAAACCAAAATAAATGATAGTATGATTCCTTCATTTTCCCTATTCAACCGATTTCCCTTCTTCTCTGCATTTTTTTTAAACTATCACCAGGCAGTGTAGAATATTGCCAGGATGAGCTTTAAAAGATCAAGCAAAAAAATCAAAGAACATCACCCCCACTTCCCCCTCCCCCCCGCCTCCTTTTCCCGGCGAGGGAGTCGCCAGTTTTCCGGTAGTCAAACCTTGTCGGCGTTGCTCCAACACCGGGCCCACTGGGAGACAGGATTGGGACTGTAATTGGGGAGGAAGTCCCAACTTCCTTCTATCCCGCCTGTCCCCAGCTGTGCTAATTAGCTTTACTTCATTCAATTTTCCCTGCATAATTTTCACCAATCTAACCTCCTATCTGTGGCTGTAGTAGTTTCCTCCTCGATTCTTCCACCCTCGCCTGCAAAACCCAGTGCCCCTGCCAAATCCGTTACCTCTCTGCTTCTTTCGCTCTCTTTTTCACTTAATTAGTCTCCTCAGCCCCATCCCTAGTGTGCAGATATTTAAATGTGAACTTTCCAGTTCGGTTTGTCAATTTTGTGTTTAAACTTTCCATGTATAAATACCTCAGAACTTTCCATTCCCTCTGGGTGTCATTCATTTTTGTTAACCTTTCTTCAAATTTTAATTTACTAATTGCCTCTCTGCTCTCAAAGAACCACCAGGCTCAATCCCCTGCACTTCTTCATTTGGTGTGCTGCCATGCACTCCCAGTGCTAACCTGTCACACGCTCCCTTGTCGAATTTCCAATCCCGATTGAACCTCTGATCTCATACACAGTAACCCATTGCCAAAGGACAGTCCTGGCACCATTACTGCTTTCCATATACCCCTCACCACTTCACATCTATTATAATTCATAGTGCCCCGAGTTCCATAATACTTGAATTTCTTTTCCTTCTCCTAATTGTATTTTTTGAGAAGTTCCTCTAGGTATTACCTTCCCTCATTGAGCCATACTCTCAGATACTATTTGTATTTTTCTATATGGCCTATTTCAATATCTTGTATTTTTAGTAGTGTTCTGCGAATATTTGAAATTTTGAATAGTAGTTTGGAATAATACACAATGAAGTATTCGCTTTGCGATGAACTGCAATATTCATACTTTTCCAAGTGTTGATCACGGCGGGTTATCTCCGTTGAGCGCGCACTTCTTTTTGAGCACGAATGCAATGTAGAGAAGCAACACCCGCGAAAGCCAGAGCCGTATATAGGGAGAGTTTGATTACAATTACATGCTTGGGAGAAAAGCATACTTTCAAAGCTGGAGGGTGCACACATGCACCTGGTGGGTTTAAGAAGAAACTGAAACCTTGCCTACGTTAATATTGGCATTGCAGTAAAATTTTCTAAATTAAACCGTGGCTGTTATGCAAGAGTATATGCCAGGCAGAGATGCCCTGACAACCTGCATTCATCACTCATGATTCTTTTTTTTATTTATCAATTAGAGATTGAAGAAATAATGTTTGCATATAGCAAGGTTTGTAAATCCACTCAATTAAGTATAGCTGGCCATCTCTATAGGTTTCATTTTGTGTCAAATCTGTCATTTACTTGTCATCCCAAGGCGTTGGCCTTTCTGAGGTCACAGTCCGCATATATAGTTAGATTAAAATGAACTTATAAATGGACAAGTGGAAGCTTGGGAACAGCCTACACAAGTTTAGCTTGGTTTCCTAAGCTTGGTGCAACAGTAGTGAAAGGCTTCGAGGAACTGTTCATTATTAGATTCCAAAATATTTGACCAAAACAACTACATATTTGCTTCGAATTCACTTCAGATTAAAAATACACGATCCGCACATGAATAATTTTCAGGAGTTCTCTCTTTTCGTCGTTGAACACCATTGACCCAGACTTACTACTACTAAAACTCAGGCCCTAGCTGTCTCTTTCCTCTCCCCATACTATTCCAGTTAGTTCCTGTAATGTATCGTGGTTTTCTGCCATGAGTACTATGCCGTCTTCATACATTAGTCCTGGGATTACTTGCATTACATTTCTCTCCCCTTCCATATAACTAACACTACTTTCTTTTTCATTCCATCTAGCTGCGTCATGAGGGGTAGGGTTGACAGTGGACGACCCTGTCTGAGCCTTCTTTTTATTGCTGCTGGTTGTGTTGTGTGCATGCTCGTTGGGCCAGCCACACTTTTGCCACGTGATCATGCTTCCTCGCACATACCCCCACGCAGAGAATGAGGTCAGGTGACGAAAGGGAGGCGGCTGATTGGTCCGGCAAGCGTATAGCTTCCACCGCACTGTCAGCTTAGGGGTGAAGGGAATAAGTGAGGTCCGGTGTTATGTGACGTGCGTTTGGGCCGGGTGACGCGCTTTGGGTAGCGCGGATGTATCGGAGTGAAAAGGTAGAGAGCTTACGAAGGGAAGGAGGTACGAAATAGTTTGCTTTGTTTTCAAATTTTCGTTTTAAAAACCAGGCTTTTGACTTTGTACCTTCTTTCTTTTGGCCCACTAAACGATATGCTATTAGTAGAATCCCAATCTAAAGCCATTTATCCCAGCCCAAAATTCGTTTCATGGGCCCTTTAAGCTAAAACTGCAGCTAAAGCTAAAAAAAAAAAAGAAATTTGGTTGTGTGTGTGTTTATACAGCCTAGAACTTGGTCTGCCTCAACGGGCAACGAGTCTCCCAGCTGTAGATGAGAAATTTAGCCAGTGCAGTACAACCGCTAGCGTGGGTCTTTACCGTGCACCACGCAGCAGTGATACACGACCGCACGCCGGTACGATGCTCATTCACATCGAAACGGGCCAGGAATGGGGATTGAACCCAGGATGCCTGTGTCCTGCAGCACGAGCTTTCACTCCACGGGCTCAGAGCTGGTGGGCGCTAGCCCACTCGGCCACCGATCCCCCCAACTAAAGCTACAAGCACGAGCTAACCCATGCTGCTTGCTTTGAGACATGCCTTTTTAATGCAAGCCAGGCCAAGGTATCATGCGTGAAGCGTCCTCTGCATTTTCTGCCTAGAGGTCCATTGAGTATACAAACTACAACTTGAAGAGGTTCGGCATGCCTCACCTCCACATATTCATGTTTTTTCGTGCTTCGCAGATATTAAATTAACCCTTTTATGGTCATTCTTTTTTTTTTCTTCGAAAGATATTTCCCAGTGGTCGGGTCTTGTTTTAAGCGGATAGTACAAAGAAAGAGTCAATGTGCAGGTCTTTTAGTTATCTGTCCAGCAGCATGTACAGTGCTTGCGAGCTGTTTAAGTTCAGCGGCATGAAATAGAAATATTCAGAGCGAAATGTTGTCGCCTTTCTTCCGTTCGGTTTCCTTTAGGCACATCCGCTTCTGCAACATTCTGGCGGTTTCGTTTTATGAACCGTAGGTACTTTATAGTGCTTCTCCATCGGTTGATGGCCTCTTACCCTCCAAATTTGAATCAGAGAAGCGTTAGAAGTCCGAAGCGGAAGAGGTGGCGCTTCGATTGCACTTTCGCCAGAGTGCCAACATGCAAAGCAACCATCTCACGCGTGTCACATGCGCAGAGTATCTATTTTCGTAGAAATAAATAGCCACAGCAAAGTGAAAGATGGCACAAATATAATGTTTGTAGTTTGCCAAAAACGTAACAGATAGCAGCGTCTCCTGGAGAGGGACGTGGTGTTGCATTTAGGTGCAAACTTTTAAGTCTGTAATCGCCGTCGTGCATGTACGGTAACGACCGTCGAAGCGTCAAGTAAAGCATTCTCGTTGTCGTGCAGTGAGGTCCTCTATGAAGACGACGGCTTTCCCCAAAGGCACCTGGCAGCCCTGGTGGCTTCTAAGGTGAGTGTTCTGCCCCTGCTCCCGGCATGCCGTATGCTGTGAGCCCCCGCTTGCAGGTGTACTACCACCTGGGCTCCTTCGAGGACTCGCTCACGTACGCGCTCGGAGCGAGCGAGCTCTTCGACGTCACCGTGCCGTCCGAATACGTGGAGACCATCATTGGTGAGTGGAGCTGGGCACCCAGCCAATGCGTGCCCTCTGCCTTTTCGTGCTTTTCACTGCAAACTCCGACAGCAGGCAAGCCTGCTTCGTCCGTTCACGCGGTTCGGTGGCTGCTGGCACGCGTTGTGATCTTGCATCGCACAGGCTCAGCGTGCGCAACCCGATGGCAGGAGCACAGTGTTTGCACAGCGCTGCGGTCAAATGCATATATAATCGCGTTAAACTTTGCATGCATTGGCTCAACGTTTATAGGCGAGAGGGCGCTGCGGTCATATGCTCAAATGCATATATAACCACGTTCCATACCACACATTCTCTTTCTGACATGGATGAAAACGAACGGAAGGCTCGGCATGCTGTGGCTCAGTGTCTACGCAGACAAGCACCACCAGAGCTTTGCCCCAATCAACATCGTTCACCACGTGGAGGTGCAGTCATTTTTTTTTTGCTGCAGCCGAGATTGGAGTTTCAGTTAGTGGGTAGTACCTAAGCAAGTGAATTAGTTAAACATGGACCTCTGCAAAACCGACAGCAAAATCCTATTGCTGTGAGGAAGTTGAAAGCAACCAGACATGTCCACATCTGTTGTGTTTTCTGTTGTGCACATTTCCATTCTAAATCTTCACAAGTACCAGCACACACCCTTACTTAGTTCTAGAGGGGGAGTTTATGAACTTTGTTTAGCAATGCCAGATCAAATATATAGGGATCACTGCTACACAGTAAGATTCTTTTCTGGCTGTCAATATAAATTAAATCTTCTTTATATGACATTTCAATTAAAGTTTGATGTTTACTTGATAAAAACAAATAAGTATAATTCGATACTTTGCATCAAGCAAGCTAGTGCAGAATGCATCATGTGTTCGTGTTTCATTCCCTAACAGACTACCCCAAAAGCCTAACAGGCAAAACAGAATGAACAGGGATGTTCAGTGGACATACAAGTCAACTTGTCTTGATGTTATCTCAGCTTCACTTTATACAAGGGACTTCAAAATTTCTAGGTTGTTTCTGTCGTGTTTCTGCTTGCAGCTTACCATGTTTCATATAGAAACACTGAAGCATGTGCCAATTACTAAAGAAATTATTTGTGACTTCTTTACTTTGGTTAAGGAACATTTATGAATTGTCAAACTAGAGCCATGAAACCTTTCCTACTTATTCCCCACAATGTGGGCTTTCTTTTGTATCAAAACAATAATAAAGGCACATCTCATTATTTACAAATAAATTTTTATAGACCTGTGGTCTTTTCTTGATGTTTCTAGTAAAACAAAACATATTATTAAATTAAAAAAAAATTCAGCGAAATACAAGTTACGAGGTTTAGTAAGGGAAGTAAGCATGCATTAATAACTGACAAATAAATCTCTCTGACAGGTCCACTAGTTTTGGAGAAAAGTTTCCTTGTTCTTACAAGAACAGAGTACCTATTACAAAAACAGCTTTTGATAAATTGCAATTGGAAGTTTGGCTGCTCTTACACAACTCTAAAATGCATAGTCTTCAGCATCATCCCCTTTACACTGCCTTGCACTGCCTCCCTTCGCACTTACTTGTTTGACCTTTGCTGGCACTTGCCTCTATTTTAATTCTTTTCTTGCTTTCTGCAGAGCCCCGAAAATCTGCTTTTGTGATTCGGGTATTTGTCCATTTGATTCAGGGTCACTTCACTGAACACACCTGGAGCCCTAACCTACATGGCGGGACCAAGGCACATTGCCGCCTGCTCCGATTGGTCAGTCGGCGGTGCAACATTGACCAATCGCAGCAGGCGGCAATGTCCCAGTCCTTTGGTCCCGCCGTGTAGCTTAGGGCCCCTGGTGCAACACCAAGGCTTCAAGCACTTTTTTAGTGGCATATCTTAGGCGCCCGTTTCCAGGTTGAGCGGCGCCGGCGTAACCTCCACGCTGAATTCAGCGGGAAAACTTAACCCGCTAAATTTAGCGAGAGGAGCAGGAAAGGAGGAGGAGGCGGATGAGGAGGAAAGGAGAGGGGTAGGAGAAAGAGGAGGAGAGGGTACAAAGGAGGAGGAGGGGCGCTCCGTACCCTCCCCCCTTCCTCCTCAAGAGCTGCGCTCTAATTTCGCATTACAGAGATTTGTAAATGTCTCATTTTTTTCTTGCTTCATTGCCGTTGTAGAATGCAGTTGCGTCGTAGACTGCAGTCTTCACTGAGGACAAATGTGGTTTTTGAACACCTACACTGGACCAAGTTGTTTAGTGACTCATTTGCATTGTGGGTGCTTCCATAAAATGTCCATTAAAATAAAAATAAGTTTTGTACAATAGGTTTTATCAATCTTAAACGCATAAAAAAAAAAGCTTTGTTGATTTTTTTTACGTTTTGAGAACAAGAGTGATGCAAACAATGTATCTGTAAAGACACACACATTTTAAAGGGCATATAGGCATAGTGGCACAACTTTTAAATGTCTTCTAGTTCTCATTCGAACATGCTCTTTGGGGGCAGGTTCTGCAAAAACCCTGCTTCATTTCTAGATAAAAAAATGAATAAATAAAAATAAAGACGTTTATAAAGCAGCTCTTTGGGTATTTTGATTTTGCGGTATACTGTGCTAAATTAGTGTCATGATGTAGGGGAGTTGGTTCATGGTAAGCGGAAATAAACAGTGTGCAAAAATAGACACGGACGAAAGGAAGATGCGAACGACACAAGCGCTGGACTCATAACTAAACATTTACTGAAAAAACACCAACGAAGTAAACCGCACTATCGCTTCAGCATGTGTCAAGATAGGCAATTTCTTTTTTGTGAAGAAAGACCGATGTTTGGCTGACGCATGCATCTTGCCCCTCTTTTGTTATTGCATACACTTCCAATAATTCTCTGGTAGTTTTATCTGTGCCCCTCCCGATGATGGTGATGTTGAATTTGGGCTGGCATTTACAGGCAGCACGATGCAGAGGCAAGTGAACCCCAGCGGTCGACCGGAGTAACCAGTCATGTTCACGTGCCCTGTCATTAATGCGTCGGCCAGTTGAGCCGATGTACACTTTTCCGCAGCTTAGTGGGATCTTGTATACGACACCAACCACACAATCAACATACTTGTTCTTGTGTTCTACGGCGCATTGGCTCTTGCCCCCAGCCTTTTCCGCAATTCTAGGGTAGAGTTGCGCCAACTTTCGAGGTCCTGCTACCATTCAATGTCGGGAAAGTTTTTAGGATGTAGGTACAGCGGCTGACAGATGCTGGCTTCCCAGCATCAGTTATTCTGGCAGTGGTGCAGACATTAAAAAAGATTAAGGGAAAGTTAAGTCAGAAAAAATCAGTGATGTGACCACGACGCGTGCCTCTCGCCGGCAGCCAGTGACCAGCACCGAACGCGCCGCAGCACCGACGCAACAACCGACGTTGCCGTCCCTCTTAGATGGTTCCGGTTTTGCTGTTGAGCAGCAATATTTACAAAAAACTAGTACGCGCAACATTGAGGGAAAAAATATGCCTCGTATTTCAGGAACACTGACTGAGCCGAAAACTGTCGTAATCCCAAATTTTAAAATGTTGACTGGACTCGCCCTTCGAGGCTTGTTCACGCACTTGCGACCGCTAATGACCGAGTGCCTTGCAACCTCTTGCAGATGACGAGAGAACAAACTGGCACCATCTATCCAGTGGCCTTGGAACCCTCGGCATTTCTGCGTAGTTTCTATTTTTTTTGCTAAAAAAACTGGCGTTAATGTTGTAAACGACCATTTCTCGTTGATAGTACTTACATTTAATCTCGCAAATACCGCAAAAGCAAAATGCAGTTCTGGGGTCAGCTTGCAGATGACGAGGCAGGCTGTTCTCTCGTCGTAAGAGACAAGAACCGGGTGGTAAGCCAGTGCAAGTGTGCGAAGGGTCCCCCGAAGTCGCGAGTTGCTGGGGGGGGGGGGGGGGGGGGGGGGGGGGGCGTTGGCGTTTTGGCGGGAGCGGGTGTGAACGGGGCAGGGGTGTCTGCGTGCAGCCAAGTGCATCGACCACTACACGAAGCTGCGGCGCCAGGAGGGGGGCGGCGGTGGACGCCCGGCTGGAGGCCATCGTGGACCGCATGTTCCAGCGCTGCTTCGAGGACGGCCAGTTCCGGCAGGCCGTGGGCATCGCCCTCGAGACGCGCCGCATGGACATGTTCCAGAAGGCCATCGTGGCTGCGGTGAGCTTTTTTCCCCTTTGGGATCCGCCGGCACTTGCCTCTTGAATGGACGTCTACGGTCGCGGCGTCTGCCATACCGCTAGCTGAGGCTTTCCAGCAGTCCGCCTTTCCACAGTTTTTTTTTTTGCCGGGAGGAAAGCTTTCCTTTGCTCGCGTCCTTGGATGGAGGCTCAGAGCACACTCTCGGTTCTGGGTGGTCGCTTGCGCGCCCTGCTGGTTATTGCTGACGCCTCCGTCGCCGTTTTTTTGGTCCTGAACCTCCCGAAAACGAGAATGGGGATAAGAGGTGGCATGGAGGAAAGGCACGCTGTTTGTGTGATCGATGTCCATACATAAAATGCACGCCGCAACTTTAGCGCCTTTCCAGAGTGGTATACTCTTTCTTTGCTGCTGCAGCGTGTATCATGTCCTGTTTGCACGGCCCTTGAGAGGATATCGCGGTAGAAGACCCCATGCATTTCCTATGTCAAATTTTGGTCCTCATTTTCGGTAGCTACCAAGCCTATCGGCACCGGAGTGGTTGTATTCGAAAGATAATAACAATCATTATAGCTTCTCGGAGTTGTATCTTCCGATTTTGCGTTCATTATAGTTTTACATGGCCTCAAATTTTGAGCATAAAGCCGACTTTTTTAGCTTCCACTTTCAAGCATCTCAGGAATTAAATTATAGGATAAATGCAAATTGTAGTACCACATTGCAGTGTAAATTGTCTCCGTTAATCTATATTTGTTAACAGATTTTCTCGATACATTGCTACTATGAAATGAAGTAAAGTTTCCGCTTAGTGAAATCGAAAATTTGTTTGCTAAATGCCACTTTTTGAGCTCTGCGATTTGGTGCCATCCTGTGATTGTGCTCGCAAAACTCGATGTGGCAGTGATCAATGAGTCCGTCGGCGCTTATCATCTTATCTTAAAGCTTATTTATCATCCAAAATGTGTATTTTTGTTATCATTAACATAAATAGCATATAAATTGTCATTGATGTTAATGATCAAATGACAAGAACTTTGTTTTTATCTGAATTAATAATTGCAGTTTTTTTGCATCCTCTTTAATGAGATATCCACTTGTGTGCTCAATATTGCCGCGCGCGGAGCTGGCCCAGTAGGCAGCGCAGCCGTGGCCTAACGGTTCAATTCCAGGGAGCGACGTGTCCTTTATTTATTCTTGCAATTTCGTGTTCTGGTAAATTCGAGAATCCTGTTGCTTGTTCGAGGTCCGAATTTTCTACGCACCGAACCTTCTACGCCAATTGTTCCAGAATCCCACGCGTGTACATAAGGAACTCCGCATGCCGAGGCGCAGTCAGTCTTGCTCCAGTGCTCAATCCTGCTGTTTCGCCGACATTGACGCCTGCGACGCTAACGTTCTTCTGTTTTATTTTGGGCACAAGTTGATCCAATTAAACGTGTAGTTTCTCCAGTTAGCTCACCGCCTCATCCTTTGTCATTCGTGACAATATTAGTCTGTTCCAACACGATTTCCGTGGAATATACTCTTTGGTTTACCTTTGGCTGTGTCCTTCATCATTCAGCATATTATTGTAGTGCGTGGTACTTCTACACAAAACATCTAGTTTATTTATTGATTTATTTACAATCTACCCATTGGAAAGATCCAGTGGCGGAATGTTGCAAGTGAAGGGAGGGATGACAAAGCATTTTCCATCGCTGGTTGTAGAATCCCTTGTGACACTTGATGTGTAATCGGTACCACAGTGGACAGCGATCGTTTCCAGCACCTGCAGAAACAGGGACAGCGGTCTGTGGACACCGAAACCCAAGGGCGGGAGGTGAAACAGCCACTGATAGTCCTGTCACATGACGTGGAACTCTGTTGCCTACTGAAGTAGTGGTTAAAGGCCAGGCACAGCTTAAAAAGATCCAGTGGTGGGACATTGCAAGTGAAGGAGGGGCATGGTAGGGCATTTTCAGTCGCTGGTTGTAGAATCCTGTGTGGGAGTTGACATGTAATAGGTACCGTAGTGGACAGCAATGGTCCCTAGCACTTGCAGAAACAGGGAGAGGGAACAATCCGTTGGCATTCTGGCACTGAAACCCTTGTGTGCGAGGGAGTCGCACAAAAGTGGGAAGGCAAAGTAGGCATGTCTCTTGATATAGACAGGGTAACACATCAATTTTAACATGTAGTACTTGTAGTGGTAGGAATGAAAATGAAGTGTAAACTTGTGCTCCAAAAGTTCCTTTTGGTGCTCCAAAATTTCCTCTTAGCTGCTCCAAAAGGGGCTTCAAAATGACTTGTACCAATCACATTACTGCATTTTACTGCTCAAAAGGATAAACAAAAGTATAATGAAATGTAGTGCATACACAATAGTAGCAGAAATTCAACAGCAAAAAATCTTTGCTCTCTTTATGTTGTGGAAAATGTTCTTAGAAAAGGCTACCCAGCATGGCTCTAGCATGTTTGTGCTGTCCTACATGAGCACCTATACTTTCAATTGCACGTGGAAAATTGCAAATTAAACTTTTGTACGTAAAACAATCAAAACGGGATCTTTTTGTTTCAAATAAATTCGTAATGAACTTTTTTTTTCTTCGTTTTATGCATCTTTTATGCATCTTTAGTTAAACCCCAATGAAAGACTGCAAGGGAAGACAGCCGTGAGAGTTGACTAGGGATTGCGTAATTCACACCCGTGGGGATTAAACCTGGGTCCGGTGTGTGCGAAGTGGAGGTGTTACTACTGAGCTATGCCACAGCGTTTATCAGCTTGTTATATACTTGGGTGTTTCTGTAGTGCCCAACTGCCACTGGGTGCGCTTCTTGGAAGGAAAATAGCAGATAACAAAATGTTGTTTAGCGCAGTCAGTGCCAGAAGCTTTTAGGACAAAAGGGAGCGATTTCATTTTTTGTTCCAAACATTTTCTTTACGCACCCGCACCCGGAGCCGATGCCCAGCGACTTCGCCGTGACGTGTCGCAGCCGTTGCTGTGGCTGTGCCGTGGATTAATGCAGGACAGCTCAATTTTTTTAATGGATGTTTGTACAGGAGGACGTGGGGGCCATGCTGGCGTACAGTTCCAAGGTGGCCATGACCCTGGTGCAGAACAGGGCCTTCCAGGACGAGGTGCTGCGGGCCCTGGTGAAGCTGTACAGGGAGCTGGACACCCCGGACTACGTCAACATGTGTCAGGTGGGGCTTGCAGGCACACTCTCGCTTACGACCGTGTCGTTGCGGTTTTGCGAGAGAACGCGCCGTCTGTAAGCCGGCCCTGGAACCGCATTTCGCTAGAGCAAAGGTGCTCAAATGAGGGACCCTGAAGGCCTTTTTGGGGTCCCCAAAGGCTTAGTCGTATCGAGCACCGCCGACTGCCTCGCAGAACTAAATAGACAAAGACCGAGTGAGTAGGGCAAATTATTCTCCGTTCCGAATCTGTGAATTAAGTTTATTTGATTTCCCTCATTCACCCTTTGGTCACTGTAATTGTCCATTACCCTCCCCTCCCCCCTGGTGGTTGAGGTCCACCACTGTGCTAGAGTGAAGCTTTTTTTGCAATTGTAGGATCAAATGTGCATACCATCTAGAAAGAAATGGTTGTTTATAACATTGTTGAAAGTTTTTCAAACCATTAAAGGGGCCCTGCAAGAACTTTTTATTGTTTTTTAATTTGCACCGAACCTGAGAGCACTGAACGTAGTAACTTAGTGAAACTTTTCTTTTTCCGAAATTCGCTTTATTTTAAAAGTTATAGGCAATTTAGAATTACAAAAACAAGCAAAGAATAATCTCCTTAAGACGTCATAGGTCCTGGCTTGAGTGGCCGTGAACTAGAGGAGGAATAGTGGGCTCATCGAGCGCTCACGGCCGCCGCACTCCGTGTCGACGGCGCCAGAGGGCGCCACTAAAGCATGTTCTGGATAGGCTGTATGCAGCGGGCAGCCAAAGCGGCTTTCATTGCGTTCGCTGCGCGATTAAACACTAATTCGGCATGACACTTCATTAGCCACAAACGACAGCAAACACGGGGTAAAGGTCAGTTCAGAATGGGAGCCACTTCGCGCTGCCAAACCGCGAAACGGCCAAACCGCAAGACAGAGCCTCTCGCCGAAGGCCTTCGGAACGCTCGGAGCCGGTCGGATCCTCCTGTCCATACGACTGCAGCGCCACCGCGTACATCCAGGATTTTCCCGTGTCGGTGCCTTATCCCACTATTCTTTTCTAGTATGCGCCGCCTTTTCCACCGCTTGGCGGCGGGTATGTTGACGGGTCATTTCTTGTTTCCGTACTTTATAAACTGCATTTCTTTCTTTTTTCATCTATAATAGTGAACAAAAACTACTTTTATAAATAATTGAAACGGTTTGCGCCACTTATATTTTGTATTTTGACCAAAAAGAAGTTTTTAGTGGCTCTGACCAGTAGAAAGCCCAGGACCAAAGACGTCACATTTTGCGCGCTCTCGGTACCGCGGGTCGCCCTCGTCGGTGGAGGAGGTTTCCGTGTCGTCCGGTTAAAATATGGTGCACTGATATTTAGCTACTCTTTCCGTGCCCGCTGGCTTGCCCGAACCCCAAGAGACGTGGTAACTGCATAAAAGGTAGACGCTTAAATATGATTGCAGGGCCCCTTTAAAAAATGGTGCGGAAAAAGAAAAAAAAAAAAAAAAAGGAAATGCGGTATGAACCTATTATAACAGACCATGAGAGTGATAAAGTGATGAAGATTTTGGTCTGTTGTAAAAGGAGTATGCAGAATGTAGATACTCTTATTACAGACTTCGAAGTGGAATACGACTGGAGTTTGTTCTGAGATTGACGAAATGAAAATGGATACAGCAAACTTTCGTTAGTTCGACCTCGGTTAATTCGACTTTTCGTTTAATTCGATCCTGTTCAAAAGCCCCAGCGAACGGCCATACATTTTTATAAGAGGAAAAGTTTGGTAGTTCGAACTTTTTTTCTCACCGGATAATTCGTCCCCAGTGAATGCTTGTGGGCTCATATTGCACGGCACCACGGCAGAAAAACCACCAACGTACGGCAAAACACGGGCCCTTTGCTGCAAAACCGAACGTGCGCAAATATGTGCCTGCTCCTCTATGCCGTTGAGATGGACTGTAGTGAATGATTTGAGCCAGCGCAACCAATCTGGCGTGGAGTAGCGTGCAGAACACAGCACGTGGTCGGGCGTGGAGACGGCGCGCGCTCTCAAAGCTCTTTTCTGTAGCATTTTGTGCGGTCCGGGGGGTTATCGGTTGCTGCTGTTTCAGTTGTCTTCGTGACCCAAAAGCTTTCTGAAACAAGAAGCGGCACGCTCTATGGCAACACAGGCTCGGTGATTCGATAGCTCCATGCCCTAGGTAGGGTCGCAACATTTGGTTGCAAATGTAGGTCGAAATTTTTTGGTCACGATTATAGGTCGACTTAATTTTTGACAACATTTCCGAAAAAAAAAAAAAGGTTGACTTATATTCGAATAAATTCGGTAGTATGTTTTTTGCAATTCCCGACGTCTGCTGTGGCTGGCAGTTTGTTCCCAATAAAAGTTTCTTCTTCCTTTCAACCAGAAACTTCATGGGTCGGAATTTTTTAGTTTTCTTTGACACACCCGGTATACAAGTCAAAGGCACTTGCTTAGAACGAATGCTCGCAGACATCCAGGTCGTTGATCTGGGTGTGGTCCTTCACTCGCCCAGTTGTCGGCATGCCGTTTACTCCACGGCTTCTATACGACCCCCGCCGGCCCACAAGGGCTGTTTTGAAGCTACCCGGAATACTTGCATTCTGTTCCTTGAACCCTACATTCCCCTGCGGACGTTGGGATCCTTTGTTTCTCACCATACACAGCAGGGACATACCAGGTCCCCAACTGCGTTCAAAAAGTCCGTTGGGCCACGGCGCAAGATATATGTGAGTGTGGACCTCGCACTCATCGCAGCTGCAAAATAAGGTCCCCTCGCAAGCTGCTTTTTTCATAATAATTTAATGGCCGAGGCTACATCCACGCGCGGGGACGTAGCCAAGTCGGGAGGAGATAAGGCTCCATCCATGCAAAAGGCCACGTGACTTATAATTTAAGGACATAATTTGTTTTTATTTACATATTATGCTTTCTTACAAGTAAATATAGGATCTAAAAATAAAGAGGTTACATTCTATTGTTGTTTTAAAGTTAATATATCACGTGACCTTACAATTTCTTAGACAATTTATCAATGTTTCACTGTTTTCTAACACTGATAGGAAATATCATGCGTCATAAAAATAGTATCTGTAGATGTCTTTATATTTATGTTGTCCAGGAGTCACACACACACGTGTGGGCAGCGTGCGTGTGGGCGTGCAGCCTGCAGCCATGTGGTGTGGGCTTGGTTGGCTTGGCGCGGCTGCGGCCTCTGGGGCCTTCGCCCATGTGCACATCGCTGCTGAGGCGAGGCGGCGAGGCTTCGCCGTGTATGTGATTGGCTTAATTCGTTTAAGGCGTTGTAGTGTGAGCTTATGTGCATCGAAGGGGACAAGTGCGGGCACACGCTTCGTATGTTCTTGACTTGCGCGCACGCTCGCTATCTCACAAAGATTGCGCGAGAAGGGAAAGCTTGCATTAGACTCAGTAATAACAAACCTATTGAGAGCATTCAATCGAGAAAACTGGGTAAAAGATTCCAGAAACAGTTCATTTCATGTCAAATAAAACAGTAGCCGATGCACAGATGCCACTCATCCACGAGACCACCGATGAACACGAAGCCCTTCTTGCGGCAGAACTCCTGCAGGAGCCAGTTCACTTCTTTGTGCCGATCATTCTACGCCTGGATCACTGCACTCTGCCTACGCTGACACTCCAACGAAAAGAACCTGTTCTCCCAACTCGGAAGAAAAAGCGATCTGCGTCGTCGGATTGCGTTCCAAGATCTGAGCGGCCAGCCGACGGTACTTGTCAACGTACGCGCAGTCACAAACGCTGGTGTTGTTTGTGCCAAAATCGAGCAGGGCGTCAGAAACTTCGAGAAGCAAAGCCTTGATCCTAATGTTACTGAACACCCGCACTTCGACAGCCACCCGGTTATTCGATGTGAAATACTGGGACAAGTATTTCACCATCGAATCCCCGGCAACCAAAACTGGAGGCATATCAGAAGCGCGAGTGTGCTAATACACAAAGTTTTCTTGACCAAGAAAAAAAAAAAAAAAAAAAAAATAAATAAACTTCGGATAAACCCGCTTGGGGATTGGGGAAGACCAGGCAAGAACAGCAGTCCCTTTCACGGCAGGAACGCAAGGAGCAATGGCCACCGAGCACGAGACAAAACAATGGGAGACAAGACCGTAGACCGTAGGTTGATTGCTGCGTGGACGGAGAGGAGACGGAAAAAGAACTGCTTCCGTCCACGCAAAAAAGTGACGCGGGCGCCGGAAGTGACGTAGTGCGTGGATGGAGCCTTATCTCCTCCCGACATGGCTACATCCCCGCGCGTGGATGTAGACACTCCCTAATTTAATAGTAATAGTATTTGAAGAGTCATTCGGTGGAGCCAGATGACTTTGATCAGCCACCAGTGGCAGCTTGTCGCAGGCCCTGTTTCCCATGCTTCTCTATGGGAGACACGATTGTTTTTAAAAGCGTTTTTTGCGTGCGCTGCGTCCTGTAAAACGTGCCACTTGCACTATGCGTGTTACTTAGTCACAGCTTCATCGTTAGTCCTATAGTTTCATGCCTCGGAGGTTGCAAAAACGATTTCGTGAACGCGCTGAGCACGTCGCAGCATTCGCCATGCCTTACGTCCCTTCTTACGCCGCGGTTGGGGTCAAAGCACAATCTGGAGGGACCGGCTTCCCTGCATAGCTTTTTCGATTGGTGAGGGTTTGGAAGAAAACGTGGATGACAGGTGCTCGGATATCGCTTGCCTGGAGCATCACGCTTGGACCGGCTGGAATGAGCGGTGTGGCCTTGAGTGCAACATGTCCCTTTCCCCCTGCAGTGCCTGATCTTCCTGGACGACGCCCAGTCTGTGGCTGACGTGCTGCTGCGGCTCCTGGAGGGAAGTGGGGTGAGTTGTGCCCGATCCTCTGAACCTTTGGAATTGGGGTGCGGCTGGCGCCACCTGGCCGGTGCGAGGTGGCGGCTGCTGAGCCGCCGGGTCAGAAATTTGGGAGAAGGTTTTGCGAACAACGACCCTAAAGTAGCCATTTCTTTATGCCTTAAGGGGAAGCACTGCGTCTAGAGCTTCTTGATATAGCTTGTGATCCCATATAAACAAAATCTGTGGAGCTTATATGAATTTACAATCCGACTACAAATATGTACTTGGTTTTCACACACCCTAATTAGTTAACTGATACTAAAAGTTTAATTTGCAAAGTTTATGGGCAGGATTAAGACAAATTCAGATACCAAAATAAAAAGTTAATGTATCTGTAAACTAGGTCTGCAGAATCCAATGAGGCATAAATGAAAGCTCTAGAATGATTTATAAGTTTTAAATGACAATTTAAAATTTTTCAGTTAATTATTTCATAGGAAGTGTAGGAGGTGTCTTTGGGCATTACAGAGGGAGGGGGGGAGGGGGACAGGGACGTACAAAAAACAAAAGATGAATGAGCAGGTAATCATCTTCGACAAACTAGGATCGAAGCACCATATAGACACAATGAAATACGCCCCATTTTGCGACAATGAAATAATTTTTTTTATATTTTGCGACTTTAAAAGCATTTTTGAATAGTTTGCGATGTTCAGAGCATTCTTCACACTCATAAAGTTTAAAGCAAATCGCACAATAAACTAAACTGCAAAACAAGTTGTGCAGCTCCTATGCGTGAATATAATTATAATCTATGGAGTTAAAAAGTCTTCGGTTTGGGATTTAACTTTTTACATCATCCGATCAGTCAAATGAACCCATCGTTTCCAGAGCAGTATTAAAAACATTGTTTGACAAAACAAGACCACAGCAGAAGGTAATCTGTTTCACTGGCAAATTGTTTTTGGAAAAGATATCAACTCTCTAAAGCTGCCGTCTTACACCTGTATCCACACACTTTATGAATATGATCCACACGCGCGGATAGGTAATATATGGGGAAAACGTGTAGGCCTCACGTGGGATGCCAATCTGGGAGTGAAATGCTCCGTGGAAAAACTTCAAACGAAGCCTCACGCTGTGGCATTCCAGCGTACTGTATTTCAGCAATTGCCTCGAGTGCATCGCACCAAGCTCTCTAATTTTCGCAGATTATCCTAAAGCATACCTAGCCGCTAGATTTGGAAGTTTTTCTAATTTATTTTTATCTATACTAGTAGTTTGGGGGCCTTGCACAGTGCATGCATGTTCTATTATAGGTATACAGTCAAGCCCGGTTATATCACACACGGCTATTTTGAATTATTGTTTATATCAAACAGTCCAAGCATCCCCTTGAAAATCGCATGTAATACTATAGGAGCGTTGTCTTTTTGTATTGGTGCCCGCTGTTGGAACGGCAGCCTGTGCCCTTTCCCCAAACACTGCTGATGCTGCGCGACTCCCTAGCCCCAAAATAAAATGAGCAAAAAAAAAAAGTCTTCGGCAAGTCCAGTGTAGTGACGATGGTTGTGCAACCACACTTCAAACGCCTTGTCTTTGTTTACCCTTTTCTTTTGCCGTTATTGCTTTGCCTGTTTTTTCTTCTTTTTTTGCCTTTCTTTTTTTGCTGCCTGAATTTAGTGAGCTTTCTTTTTTGTTGCTTGCTTAACTTTTTTAATATTGTTTTTATGCGTCTTGTTTTTCGGCTTCTCTTTCTTACATGCACGGAGGCAAACACCTCCACGCATGTAAGCGCGGAGGTGTTTGCAGTCTCCCCTAACTATGCTGTACTGTATTTGGTGGCTCGTGGATGCTCTACTTGGTAAGCTCCTGTTTGTCGCGACTTTCGCTGTTAGCAGAGATGCCAAGAAATTTCAACTCAAGCTTAATTCAACATATTTTCGTATATCAAGTTATTGATATATCGAACTATTTTACGATCCCCTTTGAATTCAATATATCCGGGTTCGACTGCATTTTGCCGCGCACGTAGCTGACCAAGTAGGCAGCGCGGCCATGGCCTAGCGATTATCCTGCTTGCTTCCCACGCGAAGATCCAGGGTTTGACTCCTGGGAGCGACGCGTCTTCTATTTATTCTTGCAATTGAGTGTTCTGGTAAATTCGAGAACTCTGTTGCATGTTCGAGGCCAGAATGTTCTACGTGCCGAACCTTCTACGCCGATTGTTCCAGAAGCCCACATGTGTACAAAAGGGGCTTCATGTGGCTAGCCGGAGTCAGTCTTGCCCCGGCGATCGATCCTGCTGTTACGCCGCCTTCAACGCCTGCGACGCTCTGCTGTTATCTTCTGTTTCCTTTTGTTTTGGGCAGAAGTTCGCCCTACTAAACGTTTAGTAAGTTTTTGTCGCCTCAACAATTGTCATTTGTGACAATATCTCTACAACGTCGCGGTCGACGTGAAAGCGCCGGGCGAGGACTGTCGCGCTGCCGACTGCACGTTTTCGAATGTGGCGGGCCCCTCCCTGCGCAGGAGTCCACGCTGATGGCGTACCAGATCGCCTTCGACCTGTACGAGAGCGCCACCCAGCAGTTCCTAGCCAGGGTGCTGCAGGCCCTCAGGGCCCTGGCCCCGTCCACAAACGGGTGAGCGACGGCACATTTCTTTATCTATTTACTTTGTACCGTCAGCCGTTGACGTGCCTAAGTGGGGGTGGGTATGGGATACGGAGAATGCGTGATAATAATACACGTTCAGACATCAGGACAGCAAGTTGGAGTTTTTTTTTTTAACGAATATAAAAATGAGCATTGGCAATTTACAACACTGTCGGGCAAGCTATTCCAGCCATCTATAGATCTTACAAAAAGCGATAATTCGAAAACATTCTAAGAGAACCTGTAAGAATCGGTATGCCCATTGCATTTATTTCTAACTGCATACCAGAGCTTGAAAATAGTGTATATTTATCCTTCTCTCAAATTTTTGGGCATCATTACTAATTAAAACAACATTTTGAGGCAATTTATTTCCATTCACTGACAAACGTCACATTGACGTCAGTCTTGACAGCGTGTGTGGGTGTGCGGGTGCTAGCTTTGGCAGTGTGTTTCTCAGCTGGTTAGCTACAAAGTGCATTGCCTGTCGAGCCCAGCAAAATCGGACATGACGCCGACTTGTTTCGCAAGTAGACCACACCTTGGTACAACGACGGTGTCCGGAACGCGTCTGGGACCGGTATTTTTGTTGCTACTTGGGAACCACTTTTGACGTGTGCACGGTACGGGACACTATAGGTGCCATTGCCAGTCAAAGACACGTTCCGGGCACCACGGTGTAGCCTTTATGCGGAGCGAAAGTTTGTCTGCTTGCACTGGGGTTGTGGTGATGTCAGAACGCCAATTCTTACTGGCTGGTAAAAACAACTAGTGGGTAGACCTCAAGGCATCTAACGTTGAGGTCTACCCACTATCCTTCCGATGAAAAACAATCGGAACTCGGCGTCATTCTGACATCACCGCAACCCCTGCACAAGAAGCAGACGACTTGCTCTCCGAATTGCCAACCGAGGTTGTGGGCGTGAAGGTCCTGGAACATAGGGAACAATTGTGTGGACGAACAGAGCTCCTATTCAAATGTGAAACCAAATACGATATAGCTTCCCCAGTACTGGAAACTCCTCCGAAAACCTATGGGAGCGGCGGCGAACGGCGACAGCCTGCCCCTGGCGAACCAGGGCCAGCTTGCTAGAACGTCTCAGCTGAGACTCGGTCAAAGAAAGCACTGCAAAGGCTGGGGCACGCAAGTGTCTTGAGATGCGGTTTGAGTCCCGCTCCTCTCGTGCTCTGGCTTTGGCAGTGCTTTCTTTTACCCAGCTTCAGCTTAGATGCTGTTTCTAGCGAGCCGGCCCTGGAGTCTTCGCAAGCGGATGAACCAGTGGAAAAGTTTAGGCCCTGCGACGTTCTAGATGTTTCCAAGCCCCATTTCCCTATCCTAAGAGCGAAAGCAATTAATTACATTCAGTGTGCTTCCACGGCGATATCCATCGATCGCCGCAGCAACGACAATCAAATCTTAGCGCGCATAGAAACGGATGTTTATTTATTTGTTAAGTAGGCTGAACTCCGATCAGAGTATTACATACAACTGGTTTGCGTCTGAAAACCGGAAGGAAGGCTTTATCCGTCAGAACTTTGTTCTCAAAATGTACTTTTTAATGCAAGAGGTACAACCTTCATCGGCAATTGTGTCTTTCACACACTTCTTATTCTTCACTAAGACTGACTCTGTTGCCCCGTCTGTCACTTGCCTTCGTGTCCAGTCATTCTTGTCCACCGTACAAGTGTTGGAGCGGTTCGCAAAAGATGCGAGTCGACCGAATATGTCGTGACGGACAAAAATTAAGTCGTAAACAGTACCGACAGCTTCAGAGTTTCATTGGGCCCGTTACTCGGGCACATGACGTGGGCGGGGCATGCATGCGGAGAACACCGTACGGGCAGGTGTGTGGAAGTGCTGAGGGACCGTAGCTCCACTGACGCTTTCTTTGAAATTTGCTGTCGCAGGACGTGATGCTTTGGTAGTTAAATTTTACTCTATCTTTTACTGGTTATAGTAGCGCCAATTCCGCAATCCACGCGTTCCCGCCGTGGGTGATGTCAGCACTGCGACGCAAGCGCAGAGCAAAGGGATTGATGTCGCTGCGCTGTCTGCCCGCCGAGTTTCAGACACAAGGGGAGTGAGGGTGACATTTTTCGCCCTGTAACGCCCACCACAAACTTTTTAATAAACATTTGACATTGAAGCAAGATTATAATGAGACGGAGCGACTACATTGTTCCTCCAAGAACGAAAAGTAGTTAAGCAAAACAGTTTTTTTTCTCGAGTCACTGACGGACAAGAACGGCAGAGGAGCGTCCCTCCTCGGGCATCTGGTGAGGCTCGAGTGTGCACGTGCAGCCAAAGCGCAGTGAAACGCGAGCACGTAAGAGAGACCCTGTCGTTCTCACCTCGTATTGATGCCCCCTTAGCCACCAACTTAACCCCAGGGTTGAAAGGTTACCTTTCTTTAAAAATTCTCGAGCCACTAGAAAAGCACCTTGTAAATGCTCTCTTTCCCACCCAAGGACTCAGTTCGCTTGGAGTGGACTATTGTTGGCTACCCGCCACCCCACTAGCGCTTTCGTTGGGTTCGGCGGGTATTGCGCACGCCGCAAGGCCGAGCGAGTGCCCAAGTTTGCGCCGCGGTACGGTATCCACGGCCTTCCGCACTTAACGCGCGTACACCTCTGTCGCCAGGGCTTCTCAGGACGCAGCCAAGACCACGGAATCTATTTCGGCGGAACCTCCTCAGGAAGAGACAGGACGGTGAGTGGCGGCCCGCCGCAGCTCCGCTCGATGTTTGTTCTAACACAAAGCGTGTCGTGTGCCTGGCTGCTGCATAGTCGGTGATAATGGTAGGGAGGAGCTTCGATCGTCCCGCCTCCGGCGCAAACACCTCTAGCACGCGTGCCCAGCCAGAGTACGGTGGAGGATGCGAGTTGCGCGCCGGAGGCTGGGCGTTTCTGAGACGTGCGCTGCCGTTCTCACTCTGTGGCTGTAGCCACTTCCTGTATCGCTCTCACGGTACACCGTCTGCCAAAAGTTACTGATTCCAACACAACATACTTTCCCTCTGTCCAAATGGCATTTTTGCCTGCAACCTACAACTGCGTTTCCAAACGACGCACGCATGAGCCGCGGCAATGCAGATGTCGTCGGAACCGATGTGGACGCTTGCGGACTCTCTCGCAAAGTCGATTGCGCGACCGTTTGTACCGCAGAGGTGCCCGCATCGTAGACAATGCAGAGCCAGTTTTGCCCTCCGTTCAAGAGTTGCCCTTTCGGTACGAGAGTTGTCCTTTGTGGAAACCTTGAAAGGTTTCCCAAATGGGTGTGTGTGACCCATGGTGCCCTATAACTAGGGTTCTGTTTTCAGTGTTTATTTTTCTTCGCATTCAGATCTGTTTTCTCGGGGTTTATTTTTTTTTCTCCCGGATTCGGTGCTTTACGCTATTAATTCTTGTCCGACAGAAAATTGGGGATTGTCGTGGTTTATGTTGAAGCAAATAGTGCACGGACATATAATTTTCCAACATTCAAGGAAAACATACACTTGGCCCGAATACTTGGAAAACGTCCTTATACCGATAAAAGGCTCGAGGTACACCTAAGCACTTCTTATGAGTTGTGAATGTGAAAGCACACACAGCGCTCTTCGCTTTCTTGATCTTCGCTCCCCTGACCTTGGGCATGGAACGGTGGAGCCACTCCCTCGCGGACACGCAGCGCCATCAAGTGAGCGATTGATCAAACTGACACGCAGCGGCCAATGGGAGCCTCGTCGACGCGCACCAGCCGATGGGACTGAAGCCGAAAATTCATCAGCTTTGCTTTGCTCCTTGGGGATCGGCGAAACTAGGTGCCATGTCTAGGCTTTTCGCATGGTTTCATAGCTGGGGCTGGCTACACTTGGAGGAAGGATTTAAGGTGCCATTTTCGTGCTTCAAACTGATGACGTCGGCTCGCTCCATGAGACAGTTAATGCTTTCACATTAATAAAAGAGGAGAAAATAATGTGCATGGTTCCGACGAAAATAGCAGCTTTGAGGGCAATTCATTAAGGGTTGTGTTCCAAGTGAATTGGAAATAAAGCCGTTCATAAAATCTTCTTCCCTTTAATACGCAGGTATGGATTTTGTTTCGGGAAGGGTCCGCCCATGACAAATGCTCTATGAGGCCGTGGGTGGGGGGTAGGGAACAAAGGGAGAGGAGAGGAGAGAAGAGAAGAGAGAGAGGAGGGAGGCTCGGGCCCCCCCTGGATATGTGCCTGCGATAAATTTGGCATTTATCGGTTTTCCTTGATTTTTATCAAACAGACTCTGGGTTTAATTTTTGGGGTTTATCGATATTTGTCGAAAACGTGGAACCCTAACTATAACTAAGGTACCTGAAAAGCGTCCCGGACCGGCGCGTTCAGCGTGTCCCAAAGAGCAGTCCCTCAATTTCCGCCCGACGACGTCGTAGAAACATCATGCCGTCGCCGGCCGCAATTCTGGCGGCGTCGGGGCAGCGGAGTTCGTGGAGGCTTGAACGACCAGGAGTCGGGGCGCTACGAGGACTGCGACACTCACATTCCTTCATCTTTAAAAGGAAGCTGAAGAGGTTCTTGAACTCGAACAAACACTAATAGTAGTAATGTAGACACCTTAAAAATTTTGTGGGTTAAGATTTTCTTTTGATCTTATTAGTAGGAGCATCTTAATACCCAATTAAAATTTCAACATAGACCCGCCCGTCGCCGCCAGGATGACGACATTGAACAGCGCGACACGCTGACTCCTGGGACGTACAGTAGAACCTCGTTGATACGTTTTCCAGGGACTGCGGAAAAAAAAACGCATCATCCGGGAAAACGTAACAACCGATAACGCTGTTGATGGGGCTACAGATGTGACGGGAAGCAACCCTCACACTGGGATTTACTCCAAAATTACTTTTGGGGGTTCGGAGAATTACCACGTTAGTTACCATATAGCTGGGCATTCTTTTTCGGCCCAGTTGTTTACAACTAGCAGTCAACCTATAGCGTATCTATCCGATTAAAGCGTGACGACGATTGCTACCTCGAGGAGCAACTTTTCATATTTCTCAGTGGAGAAAATAGAACCGCGAATGTCGTGCGAGGCTAATGGAGAAAGGAAACGGTACCCCTATTTTGCTAGAAATCGTTTCCAGCACGATTTCTGACTACTGCACTCATCCGCGTTGAGCAGCGACCAAGTTTTTCTCAGCTCTTGCTCCACTCCCGAAGTCGAAACGGGCGTCACACTGAGCCTGCCGCATTGCCATCAGTTCCATCACAACATCCGACAGGAACAGAATCCGTTAAGATCCAAGAACTAAAACACGCGCTAGAAACTAGCCCGTTAAAATTTTGAAATCTTTGAGCTGGTTGAACTATCCTAAATGGACTCCGATCGTTCCGTCGCTCGCTCATTAGCCGCTATGGATTTGAAGAGATTTGGATTCGACTAGGTAATTTGAAGAATCCAGCAGAGAAGCCGAGAGGCATACGTTGCCAACAAAAGACAATAGAAAAGCCTCGCGCGGCCCAGGAAGCACGGGTTTGGGAGCGCTGAGGGGCAGATTTTGGACGTAACAGACGGGAAACTATTACATGTATCTCTATGGGAGTTAAATGGGACCGGCGCCTGTGAACGTAACAGTCGGGAAAACGTATCAACCGGGAACGTATCAACGAGGTTCTACTGTAACTTGATGCCGCTTTGGGATCACTTTGGATGCGCAAGATGTTAAACACGCCGGGTCGAGACACGTTCGAGTCACCGTAACCTTCCTTGTTTGTCGTTTCAGGTCCGAGGGGGCGGAAGAGAAGTCGGAAACATCGTCGTCTGCCGCGCCAGTCAAGATGGAGACGGCCGACGCAGCCCCCGCAGTACGTAGTCTCTCTTCTGGCGCATGTTCCCGGCGGACGGCGAGGTCAAACGGCGATGCGGACACCCAGTGGTTCGGTAGCGATACTGTGTGCGTCGCTTGTCATACGTTAAGAAAAGTGGGATGAGCTCCTCCCTCGAAGAGCTCGTCCCACTTTTCTGCCAAAAGGGAGCTATTCTCAAAAATGAAACTGTCTGGCACATTGTATTGTTGTTGATGCCACTGAAAATTAGGAAAGTGCAGTTTTTTTTTTTTTAGGACACTTAAGTAATATGCGCGAAAAGTAGGGTTTTGCAAATATTCGATTATTGAAATATTAGTTTCAATTAATATGTTATTTGATATTTTCTTCAATATGAACTGCGATATTCATACATTTTTAAAAATGTTGATTGCTGTGGGTTAGCTCTCTTGAGTGCGCTTCTCCCTAAGCTCTGGTGCACTGCGGAAAAGCAATACCCACGGAGCTGACACCGCAATCTTGTGACTCGCTTCGCCGCAGCGTAGCCGCGTGCCTAGGCAAAAAACACACCTTCAAAGTGGTCTAGTGCACGCGCGTGCCTAGTGTATTAAAAAAATAAAAAAAGGAAATTTTGGGATTGTTGATATTTACATTGCAGTAAAATATTCAAAATTAAACAATTTGCAAGGGCATATGTTTGGTAGCAATGTTCTAACAACCTGTGTTCATTATTTGTGCTTAAATTTTTTTTTTTTTTTTTTATATAACAAGCAGATTTATAAATTCCCTGAATTAGCTATGGCTGGGCTCCTTTATAGGTTTGATTTTATGTAAAATTTGTTGTTTACTTGCCATCCCAATGTAGGTATCGGACTTTTTGAGGCCACAGTTTATAAGTATAGCTAGATCAAATTTAACAAAGCTCATAAGTGGGCATTTAGAAACTTGGGGACAAGCTTTGCAAGTTCAGCTGAATTTTCGTTTAAGCAGGGTGTAACAGTAGGGAAAGGCGTGAACGAAGGTGCGGCAACTATTCGATATTCGATTAAAAATATTCGGCGAAAACCACTATTCACTTTGAATTGGCTTCGAACCCGAAATTCATTATTTGCACATGGCTAACGAAGAGTTGTTTTTTTGTGCGAACGGTGCTCACATGAATTACAATGAATAGCTAGTGCTATTCATTGTGGTTGGTTAGAGTAGCTATGTGCTCCACTGTGCTGCTTTGTAAACAGTAGCAGGTGGAATACGAGTGAGAGCAGTGTGATACAATCCCTGCAAAGTAGCCACAAACATCTTTTTACGTCAAGCACAGACCAAAGACGCCATCGGTACTCCTAATAGGTTAATTGAGACAACTGCGAAATCACTGCTGTATGATTGTTTAATAAATAAATAAATATCTCTAGTGGCCAGGTTCCCTGTAGGTATTGCACTTTAAATAGTCTCCCTAGCACTCCAACAACTGCACTTTTTCCACAGGCTAGCTTTCAAAGAGATTGTATAAAATTTTCCGACATGAAGGCTCAAGATTGTCTGCTCTAAAAGTGGGAATCTCTGCTTGAAAACCCGTCTTCTTCTGCTACAAGAGCTGCTCCAAATCACCACTTGTCAGTTATACCACTCTGGGCTTCACGAATCGCCAAGCACCGGGCCAAAGAACGTTTCACGTTAAAAACGAACGGGATGGCAATCGTAATTGCAGGAAACGGGAATCGTATCATCTGAGAACCGGTCGACGAGGTTCTAGTTCTATTGTGGATTCGTTAAATCGGGAACTTCATAAAATCGAGGTTCAACTGTATCTTTCCTTTTCCCAGAGGAACATTTAGAAATGTGGTATGTTTGAGATTCTGTCTAAAATGTAACTAATAGTGCACACGTGGGACGAACACAAAAGAAGAGCAAACGCAACACTAACCTGCAACTAAAGTATGTATTGCCACGTCTGTAGAATATGTTCGTAAGTGTTCTAGGAGGCTTTTGTGTATACTTTTTTATGTATTCTGCTTGCTGGTATATATATTCCACAGACTTGACAATACATACTTTAGGTGCAAGTTAACTGTGTTTTGTGCTTCCTTCTTGCATGTTTATCCCTTGTGTGGGCTGTACTCACTGTCTTAGACATTCCCAACCAACTAGCTCAAGCTTCAGTTTCAACAGGGGTTCTGCTTTCTCCGGCCCTACGTATAGCCGACGTTTACCCGCACAACCATAGCTACTTTACATTTTACCTGGTGTAGTTGAAAGCGGACGAGTTTGTGGCCCCACGTCCCAGCAGGCAGGGGGGGGGGTTGAAACGGGATCAGAAATGCCGACATTGCTGGTCCCGAGAGCAAAAACGAGAAAAAAAGAAGCAGAAGAGCGGAAAACTAATGTAGGCAATAGGCTGGGCAGGTTTCTTTTGCCGTGACGACTCAAAGTTATGCGATCGCTTGTCAACTTCATTTATTTTTATACAATGCGCGACGCCGACGTTTTTAGAGCGCAGCTCTTAGGGGCCCGTTCCCGGCTTGAGCGGCGTCGCCGTCGCCGTCGGCGTAACCAAGGTCATCCCAAGGTCACTTGACCCCCAAGGTCACGTGACCCCGAGGTCACCCCAAGGTCACGTGACTCCCCAAGGTCACCCCAAGGTCACGTGACCCCTCCTCCAGGGTCACGTGACCCCCAAGGTCACGTGACACCCAAAGTCACGTGGCTCCCCAAGTCACGTGACCCCCGATGACGTCATCAGTGACGTCACTGATGACGTCACAGGCATCCGCATCGTCAGCGTCATCATCAATGATGACGTTATCAGTGACGTCACCGGCATCCGCCTCGTCATCGTCATCATCACTGATGACGTCACCGGCATCCGCATCGTCATTGTCATCATCACTGATGACGTCACCGGCATCCGCATCGTCATCGTTATCATCATCATCCGCATCGTCATCGTCATCATCGCTGATGACGTCATCAGTGACGTCACTGATGACGTCACCGGCATCCGCATCGTCATCGTCATCATCACCATCCACATCGTCATCGTCATCATCGCTGATGACGTCATCAGTGACGTCACTGATGACGTGATGATGACGCTGACGATGCGGATGCCGGTGACGTCATCAGTGACGTCACTGATGACATCACCGGCATCCGCATCGTCAGCGTCATCATCACAGATGACGTTATCAGTGACGTCACTGATGACGTCACCGGCATCCGCATCGTCATCGTCATCATCACTGATGACGTCACCGGCATCCGCATCGTCATTGTCATCATCACTGATGACGTCATCAGTGACGTCACTGATGACGTCACCGGCATCCGCATCGTCATCGTCATCATCACCATCTGCATCGTCATCGTCATCATCGCTAATGACGTCATCAGTGACGCGTTACGTGACCCCCACCCAAGGTCACTTGACCCCCCCCCCCCCCCAGTACCCTTCCCTCCTCCTCCTCAAGAGCTGCACTCTAATTCGGCGTTACAGGGAGTTGTAAACGGCTTTCACTTTTTTTATTAGGTACAAAATACAGCTAGAAAAACAACAGGTACAGACCTTGCAAGTGCCGTTTTCCTCCTTTTTTCTTTGTGTAGTATATTAAGGCATCTTTAGTGATCTGGGACGACCGATGTCGGCAACTATGCCCCGGCACTGTGAAGCAGCCGCAATTTGTGGGTATTAAACAAACTGCATGCCAGCAGGAAGAGGAGCGGGACGGACGAGCGGCCCAGCTGTCCCAAGCTGGCCACCATCCTGAGTGGGGAGGTGACCATCGGCCTGCACCTGCAGTTCCTCATTCGCAGCAACCACACGGACCTGCTGGTGCTCAAGCAGACAAAGGTAGTCTTCAACGGGGACTCGATAAATGGTTTTCTGAGCGAGAACTTTTGAATTGCTAGCTTAAAATAAGTGAACAGTGCTATGCTGCCAGACAGCTAAAGTGCAATCCCACTTATAATGATACCACATATAAACGACATACTGCTTATAACGATCAGTTTCTAGAGTTTCCAGACTAGAAGCGCTTAGTTTCTAGTCCAGATACAATAATTGGTTATACAGTAAAACCTCGTTATAACAAAGTTGAAGGAGTGGTCGTAATTATTTAGTTATAACCATTAGTTTGTTATAGCCAATGTCCATTTCTTCCCACTCTTAGTAGGCAAGGGGAATTATGATTGCTTTTTTATATCCATTAGTTTGTTATATCCCATTTTGTTATAACGAGGTTTTACTGTAACAAGTGAATTTCCGGGGTTTCTCATTATTGGTATAAGTGGATTGCACTGCAGTAGTAAATTCCAGCAAAAACAATCGGCAAAAAATCAGTAGACCTCAAAATTGACGGCTACCCATTCATTTAAATTGTGGGGGATTTTTTTTGTCAAATGTTCTTGTGTCAGTGTTGCTCTAAGGGTCTAAAAGTGGATAAATGAATAAAAAAAGGCTGTGTGACATATTCTATACTCTGCTCACCCTTAAGGGGGGACACTACCTTAAAATTGCAATTTTTGAGAAAATAATGAATTTTTTTATTTTTATGTATTGTGGTTTTACAACTAATAGTGTATACTCCTGCAAATTTTTATTGCAATATCTGAAGTATTTACGGAAAAATAAAACATTTTCGGTAAACCAACAATGCAAAATCACATGTTTTTGAAATGTGAAACTTCTGTTTCCTATTTTCAATCTGCTCTAGCTTTGCACCGGTGTGCCCTTGAATGATGATCATATTCTCGTTAGAAAGAGCATTTCTTCATAGTTTCAGTACATTAAGTATCTTTGTTTGAGAGCAAACTCTATTTGGGCGAGAACACCATAAACGTCCAGCTTTCACGTAGAAAAGGCTATGCATGTGGCCAAGAATCGAAAAGCCCCACCCTGATTGAACACAAAACAGACTACCAGCATTCATTTATAGAAAGTCACATGGGTTTGTCTGCTTTGTGTTTCGATGATGCTTGCCCCGCCCATATCTGCTGATGTTGGTTTGTGTGTTGCAAGCATACCCAATTCCTCACTCGTTTTCGCAATCGGTGTCCACATGCCGACAACAAAATGACATTCAAAGAAAGCGTTTTAAGCTCAGATCACTGAGCAAAGCCATGCTGCAGGAGATTGGGTGTAAGCAGAAGGCACCACCTATGCTCTTGGTGCCTTTTAGTTGCCACCACCCACCAGTAAACGCAAATGTAGTGGTGGGGAAACTTCAAGCAGGTTTTTTTCAGTTCACTTTTTTGCAGCAACTTTCGTTTTAGGAAATCTATCATTTCAATGAATCACTGAATGTATTCTTCTCTGGGGATGTTTCTGAACTGAAATTTAATGGAGGAAGGGGGCTAGATATTTCTTTTTCTATTTAAATAAAGTTCTTACTGCCAAAAAGTAGAGTTTTGATGAGGAGAAAATGTCCCATTATGTGGAATGCCTTTCAAATGGACATTTTAGATACTTTTCTTTTCAACTTTTTAAATTTTATGCATAATACTAGAGGAATAAAAATTCAAAATAAAAAGAATATGGCACTTATAGGTTACTTTTGGAAAAAAAAAAGTGAAAGCCGTTTCCAACTCCCTGTAACGCTGAATTGGAGCGTAGCTCTTGAGGAGGAGGAGGGAAGGGTACTGAGGGGAGCGTAGACCCCTCCTCCTCCTCCCCTCATTCTTTAATATGCTCCGGGGGGAGTCACCTGACCTCGGAAGGAGGGGGGTCACGTGATCTCAGGGGGGGTGTCTCGGGGGGGGGGGGGGGGGGGGGGGGGGTCACGTGACCTTGGGGAAGGGGCCACGTGACCTCGGGGGGTAACGTGACCTTGGGGTGGTCTTGGGTCACATGGGGGTCACCTTGGGGGGTCACGTGACCTTGGGGTGACCTTGGGCGACGCCGACGCCGCTCAAGACTGAAACGGGCGCCTAAGAGCTGCGCTCTAAAAAAGAAGTGGCACTGAAGGGGTTAAAGTGGATAAAAATGAGTTTGAGCTATCGGAAGCAAGAGCCACTAGACATAAGCATAGCAACACACTCGTGTATTCTTTTATTAATAACGGTTTTAGATACTAATTTCTTCCTTCAGCTATAAAAGACTGGAACAGTCTAGATAGGCACTTTTTTTAGTTATGCAAGTGATGAATTGTTTATTTGTGCAGTTGAAAACCAACTACTTTGTCAATTTATGAACTGACTTGTGATTCCTGTTTCAAAAAAGTCTCAATATTTTTATTTCTCGTTCTATTGATATTTGCCTCATATTGTTTTTTTGTTGTTTTTTTGTCCCAATACGGGCACAAATCTCAATAGGGATTGGCGGTATTTTAAAATAAATAACTAAATGGTTGGGGGTTACTACTTGAGCGTCTGTTGCTGTGTTCGATAAATTTTTATCGGGGACCATTAAGAAAATGCCGGAGTTCCCTCTTCAAAGAAGCGGGACTGAGCTTACCGTCTGGCTTGTGCAGGACGCCGTGAGGAACTCTGTGTGCCACACGGCCACGGTGATTGCCAACTCGCTGATGCACTGCGGCACCACCAGCGACCAGTTTCTCAGGTGGGTGTGCGCCTGGAGGCGGGCGTTCCTCGACTGACCGGCCTTCTTCTCCCAGGGACAACCTGGAGTGGCTCGCCCGAGCTACCAACTGGGCCAAGTTCACGGCCACCGCCAGCCTGGGCGTCATTCACAAGGTGGCCTTTTTTTTCCTAGACACTGGTCGGGCCAGAACGGGGGTGACGCGGTTCTTCCTTGCGTTTAAAAACAAATGCGGGCTCTGCACTTGGAAGGGAGGATGCCAAGGGCAGTTATTGTACAACGCCCGAATTAATGCCGGGCGTGCCCTAGGCCCGGAGTGGACGCCACGTCGGGCGATCGGGAGAATGTCTGTTCAGGTGTAGCTTAGAGCGACCGGTTTCCGTCGGTGTTTGTTGTGCAAGGTGTAGAGGGGGAACTCTCAAACGATCTTGGGGGTCTGCCCCGAACTGCAGCCCAGGAACCTCTCCCGGTCACGACATTGATGCGGTAAAGCTCCGGAAACAATTGCGCCCCTACTGGGAGGTCTTGGCTCGTGGCAACACATCAATGGGTGGCTCATATTTGCTAAAATGGTGCTTAAAGGGAAGCTGAAGAGCTTTTCGAAAAAAATGAGTTAATGGTTGATTCTGACGCGTTTGTGCCTGCTGAGTCCAAATATCACAACCATTTGACCCAAAATAATCCCCAAACGCGAAAAAAGCGAAGAAATCAGAAGCGATCGCCGCAGCGGCACGCCATTGGCTAGCCACGCGTGACGCGCCACTACGTCATAAAAGGACCACCTCGATTCTCGTTTGCTCCGTCGCTTGCGGAAGTAGCCGGGCGCCGAGTCTTCTGCTCTTGTAAATCGGGTTCGGCTTCTGATTTTTCAAAATCTTTCGGTGGATCCGAAAGAGGAATGTGTCAGACGACCCTCGACGTGACAAAGTACGCGTTCCAGCCGTTGGCAAAGTAGGAAAATGACCCCCCGCAGTGATAAACAAAGAGACGAGGAACCGCTTGCACGGACGCGAGCGACATGGCCGGCTTTGTACCTTCAGGAACGTACTGACCGCTACTTATTGTAACCTAAAACGTTGGCAATAAACGGAGTGCTATTGACGCCTCAAGCCGGATTAGCGTGACCCTTCCCAAAACGGTCGTCAGAGGACAGGAATTCTGCACACATCGGCCTTCGTGCTTGCCAGCTGCTGGACGCGTGAGCGTGCAGACTGCATTGTTCATCAAGGCTGAAGTGGTTTGAAGGGATAGTATAATCGGCTTCGGGCGACGGGAGAGCTTCCCCTGAGATGAGACGGGTGATAAGATTGGGTCGCCGTTCTGCCAACGCCATGTCCTTGGGTACTATGCGTATAACTGCGCAAAAGGTCCATCCTTGTCATAGCAGTACCCTCTGTTTCATTTAGTTTGTTTGCCGCAAACTAAAGCGGAGATGTGTGCCCGCACTCCTTAATTTTATGTCGAATTCGTTAAAGCTTCCTGGGCCTCTACATTCGCATACTTTTACCAAGATTTGTTGACTGCATCACACCGCCACCAGGCATTATCATCGTCCGATTGCATTTCTACTGCACAAAGAATTGTTGCATTACACAAACTTTATACGGAAAACACTGCGTAACTTGTAAAAAAAGAGCTCAATTCAGAACAGAAGGTCACATGCTTTGTATTTCCACAAGGCTCTCCTGAAGAGAATATAAACCTTTGGAAGGAAACTTTAACACAATTTAGGTTTACGTTTAAAAATTATATGACCTCAAATAATGTCAGCAACTGCAAAAAAAAAAAAAAAAAATGTTTATGCTAAAACATGTTGCACCGTGAAAGTCGCATTATGAATTGCATGACTACTTATTAGAGCAAGCCCTCCTCTCCCAAGTGACTGGGTAGCCGAGTAGATTAAAAGCAAAAGAAAATAATCTTGGGCTACCCAAGATTGCTGTCTTTTGTTTCCCAGATTTCCCGGACCGAAGTCGGTCTGGAAAATATAAACACTTCAACAATATAAGAAACCAACACTAAAACACTAATATAAGGCGGTTAACACAAGAGAGCGAATAGAAACCCGCTATTCGGCTAAATGATCGCGGCTTTTCTAGCACACTGCACAATTGTAATAACGTAATAGTTTTTTTCTAGAACAGTCGACCAACAATTCCTAGCCAGTTACGTTTCCTCTTGGCTTGTGACTTTTAATGCGCTGAATTGCCTTTGTACTTTCAAAGATGGTCGGCAGAGCGTCGGATTCAGGCGAGCCTTCTTCAGACCCAAACCCATACGTACATAGTTTTCATATGCGCCGTCCGAAACACGTTTCGAACAAAAACGGTGCACTTGCTCAAACCCACCCACCCCTTTAAAATCTCGGTGACGAACTGGAAAAGACAGTAAGCGGGAAGAACTGCGACGAGCGCTGTTCGTGAAAGTTGGCGGCTACACAGGAGTACGGCATCGTGCAACACAGCACGAGTCAGTTGGTTCGGTGCCACGAGAATTCCGCAAACCCGTGAACAAACAAGAAAACAATCAACACGCCAGGCGATTGAGTCAATAGCATGACCACTCAAGGGATAAAAGCAAGCGTTATGCAGCGGCAGAACGACGACGGCTCTTAAAGACACTAGCAGCCTACGAGGAAAGTGCGGCCATCCGCGGCGGGGTCCCCCAGCCAGTCCTTTTGTGACGCCGCCTGTCGGGCTTCCTCCTCTCTCCCCTTTCCCTCTGCTTCGGAGAGGCGTGGCTTCGGCGCTCCTTTGAAGGCGCTTTTCCGGTTCATCCGCGCAGAAAATGACCAAACGAATACGATATTCGTGATGGGTGAGGTCTCGTTAACTAGGTTCAGGTGTTTTTTCTCATATTTAAAACCGCTTCAGCTTCCCTTTAAACTGAATAAAGGTGCACTTGGAGGCTGGGATGGTTGGGGAAATCGAAGAGCTCGAGGAACCTCCCTGGGGAACCCAATTAGAGAGCCCACGACTTAGAGCGGTGGTTCTCAAGCACTGACATTTCGGGGACCCCCTCTGGGTTGACGGAAGTGAGGAGGGACCCCATCCACCAAGAGGAGGCTTAGGGAGGCAGTATAGGGTGATGACAGCGACAAAAGAGGGTGAGTTGAGAAAAAGTAGATGTGTGCAAACCAAACTTGAAGCTCTGAAATAGAAAATATTTTACCCTAATTCCTCAGCACATGCAGTTTTGTTTATGTATACTTTTGTGGTACAGCCAGCATTAATAAAAAAAAGAAGTTGAATTTCCCAGCTTGATTCACGGTGAGAGCTTCGGGGGCCCCAAGAAAGCTTTACCCAAAGAAACCGCAGACCCCCGTTTGACAACCGCCAACCTAGAGGGTGCTGGGGTTTAGCCCGGAGAAAATGTGGCAATTTCTTGGCACTTGTTGGGTCAATACATACCACCTAGAAGACGAGGCCTTTCCCCCAACACATTATTGCTAGTGGATCTACACCGCCCTGCCCGTGCATCCTGCAGCGTCCGACGACGAGCGCGACGCCGTTGACACCGAGACGGATGCGTCTACCACTTTGAGACATAGTTTGGTCGAGCTTCGGCCCATTTGCTGCTTGAGATGGGTCGGGGACCCACTAACGACGACTTTGTGCGTGGGCCTTCTTGTCCAGGTGGTGTTGGTTGGGTTTGGGCTGAGTTTAAATGGGCGGTCGGGAGGAAAGCGCAAGCACGTGGGGTGCCTAGCAAGTGCAGTTTGTTTACGGGGTAATCGTCAGAGGGGGCATTTCTGAGCGACGCCGCACTCCCTTTTGCTCCGAGGCGAATCGCAGCAGGCAGCTCCTCGGAAAAAAAGATGCGTCGTTCGAACGTCGGAAAAGGCCCAGTGGTTGGGCCGACATCTCAAGGGGAAATGGCCTTCGGGCCGTGAATGCTTTGTTGCTTTCGCGTTTGAAACGGCCGTGGAAGCGCTTTGTTGCAACTTGCATCACCCAGCTCGACTGCGACGGAATGCAATCCCCAAGTATGGAGCCTAGATTTACCGTAACAATGCCCACCCTTAAGGGAAGAGATCAGTGGTAAAAAATATGGGATGGGCGATCTTTGGGAATGTGAGGGGAAAGTTTTATCAAAAATATTACCGATAAACACCAGGGCTAAGGGGAGGAGGGATTTGCTACAAACCATTTGAAATGGGAAGTGATACTAGAGATAGCGGACACAACAAATTCACATTTCACTACGCGATAAACACGGGAATTTGCAACAAACTTCCTTGTCACAGGAACGAATACCGTCGAGCATGTATGCTGCAGGTTCGCACTTCACGGCGCGATAAATGTGCAAGTACCCGCTACAAAATCGGCCATGAAAAGCTGTCCAAACAGGGCTTCTCAAATGGCATAAGACGGCATATGAAGTGAATGTTGCTCTTGTTTTTTTATGTGGACATCAACCATGCAACCGGCATGGCTTAACTCCTTGCCTCCTCTGATTTTCTACAACGTTGCACACGACCTGCCAATAGTGTGCCTGTCTGCCTTTTCTGCCGTGACCCCTGCTTCTTTGGCCGTCCACGGATGGACGGCCAAAGAGTTCCAGCTACTTGCCCTTAGATCCTTCCCTTTCCCTTTTTTGGCATCAGACTCGAACAGCAGCGGAAGCCTTGACTAATGGCCAACAAGGCATGCGAGTGGCTGTCCGGAATGAGCACGCTGCAGGCCTTCGTTAAAGACAGCAGCAAAAGAAAGCTTTCCCCCCGGCAAAAAAGAAAAAAACGGATGAAAGCGGACCGCAGTACACCATATGGTGGTGCTGTGCCGCTTTACACCATTTTAAGTGCCCTGTTTGGACAGTTTTCTGCACAAACCTATATCGTGCGTGCAGATCGCAGACCAAAGCGCGGCAAGCCGCGACAAACTCCCACGTCACGGGAACGAACGGATGCCGCAGATTTGCAGATGCGGCGGATTCGTGTTTCATGGTGTGACCGGGGAAACCACTACAAGCTTGTGTATCACTGGAACCGATATTGCGCACGCAGGTGGCAGATAAAAAATGTGGAAACCAGCTGCGAACCTTGCAAGTGACAGGAACGAATACCGCAGATCGCTGCCGTGGCGGGTTCGCGTGTTATGTTGATATAAACATATGGGAACCGCTAAGAACCTGACATTGCACATGCAGATTGCGGACAAAAAAAGATATCTGGGAACGAGTGATGAACTCGCATGTCACCGAAACGAATACCGCAGATTGCAGATGCAGCAGATTTGCGTGTCCCGGTGCAATGAACACGAACGAATCTGCTAGGAATGCTCTTGTCACACGTATCATTACAGCAAGTCGTGTGGCTCATGCGATTCTCGTCGGGCATTGTGTAATAGATATCCGGCGGGAATCGAGGGGGGGGGGGGGGGGGGGGGGGGCCAATGTTTGGGAATTTTTGTTACGGATATTGAGCACTGAAAACGGCCAATCTCTCAGGGCCGGGCGTTCATACGGGACTTATGGTAAGAAACGGAGCAACTGAAGTCGTGGAGAGTGTTGGCAATTCAATGGCGGATGCCTCTCGTACAGGTTGGTCACCAGTGTATGTGCGTTGCGTTGTCGCGGAGCAAGGAAAAAAGTTGGTGCAGTTGCCAAGATGCTTGCAGATGATGGACTCTTTGGACCCCTCCTCGCAGCTCGTATTGCAAATGCAACCCATTGACCGCGTGACCCCGATAGAGCAGTTGGAAACCTAAAAGGCAAGGCCGGCACACAACGTCTTCAACGGCGGATCTCCGACCCACCCCGAGCGGCAAACGCGCAGAAGCTCCACGAGAGATGCGGCGGTCTCGGCGTCGCCGCGTGCTAGCGTCAGGCTTGTTGTGAGACGCTGCAAAACGCTACCTAGGCGGTTTGAGAAAAATGCCTCCTGGGTGGTGTGAAGCACTCTGCAATCTCCTTGCGCAGGGCCACGAGACGGAGGCCCTGCACCTGATGTCATCGTACCTGCCCAAGGAGTCCGGGCCGGGCAGCGGCTACACGGAGGGCGGGGGCCTGTACGCCCTGGGCCTGATCCACGCCAACCACGGGGCTGCCATCACGGACTACCTGCTCGGCCAGCTCAAGGAGGCCACCAACGAGGTGCCCACGCCGCCCTTCCTTGGCCACCGACGGACCCTTTTGTTCTATGCGAGCCGTCTCTGTTTACAGTCGCACCCACTTATAACGAACTTGGGTTAGCGAAATGTCGGATACAATGAACAAATGTTTATTGCACGCTCCTGCTGCTAAACTTTTAATGTAATTTTGTGCCGGTTTTAACGAACGAAGGGGAGGCAGCGCTGCGGAGATAACAAAAGAAAACCTCGAAGCGCCAAGATTTATTTTGCGAAAATTACTAGAAATTAGCGTTTTGGAATCCCAAAAGTAAATAAAATGTGCTTGCCGACATCTCTCCGGCGCCGAGCGACTTCCTCCAGGAAAAAGTTACGCAACTCCGCTCTCAAAAAGTTTGGCTTCGCCGCGTCGCATGCTACACGATAGCCATCTTTTGCACCAGGTGTTAGGTTGCAGCATCACTCGTTGCAACATCATTCGCATGCACAGCCTGCGAGCGAGAGCAACGACGATAACGAACCCGCTACGAAGTCGGTGTCGGCCGGAGCGGCTGAGGCGGTAGTCCACGTGCTCCGAGCTCACTTCATTGGTACCTCCGTCGGACGGGGTCTCTTCCCACAGTAGTACACAATTGAAGTGATTGAAGAGCAAGTTGTAAAGACAGCTTCAACACGCCGTGCACAGTCGAACATCAAAAGCTATTTTCGTCCGCAATGAGAGAGACACTAAAAAAAAATTTTGTTTGTTTTTGCCTCGTTGAGTTAGTCCCACTTGATATGGCTGGGTGAGACGCCGAGCGCAAGCAGACGACGTGAGGCAAACGGCGCGAGGCAGAGGAGGCGCGGAAGTCTTGTTTTAGTTTTATTATTGAAGGAAGATGCCCATTGCCAAGACAGAGCGCGCTTCGATCACATGCTTCGCGGAGTCAGTGAGCGTGACTCTTGCTGTATCTCTTGCAAGCGTGTTCCATATTTCGACACAGCGTGCTTTTTGATCATGTGCTTTGCAGAGCTAGCGATAGACACTGGAGCGTGTTCCAGATATTAAGGTTCTACACGCTTTTCGTTTGCATTACGGCATCGTCCAAAAGGGGGAAAGCAAACGATTTTTGAAATGCGCCTGAGAATGGGAGAATCATGTCTCTGAACTTCTTTAGAATTAAGGTATGTGAAAATGCATTTGCTGTGATCGGCCCTTGTTCAACACTAGCCTAAACTGCCAGACGTGCGTGCGGCCGGCGCAGACATACACGCAGAAAGAACTTGTATTAATTGCTTTGCATTTAATCTATTACCGCCTGAAGCTTTATCATATTTTTTTTTTTTTTTTTTTTTTTTCATTGTTTGAAGATATTTGAGAGTGCATATCGTACGTACGTATTGTATTCACGACGTGCTGTCCAGTCACGCCAAGGTGGTGCACCACATCGTGCACGTAGCCATGACGTGTAATGTATGCAAAAGATCTGGACTTTTTGGGGCAAATTCTACTTGTAGCGAAATACGGCTATAGCAAACATATTTCAAAATCACGTCGACTTCGTTATAACCAGATTCAACTGTACTATAGAAACGACAAAGTTGAGATTTAACGAGGTCCTTCTGCTGCGTTATTCAACACATTGCTGTTTCAGATTGTGCGTCACGGCGGATGCTTGGGAGTTGGACTGGCTGCCATGAGCACACACCGGCAAGGTCGGTGCCCGACGGACGTTGGGAAATTTCTCGTTCAAAGTGTCTACCGTAAAGGTCCGACATAGCTGTCCCGGGGTGTGACGTGACGGAGTTATGTTTTAGGAGGCGATTGTGACAAGATCAGCGGAACAGTAGACAACATTTTTGGGGCCCTGTCGACGGGAAGGGAAGCGGCTCTCGTCCGGCAATTTATTTCGATGGGACTTGACTTTCACTGCGGTGGAGGACTACCGTATTTATTCCAATGTCGGCCACTTATCTTTCCGGAACTGTTCCTTAAAATTAGATGTGAACTAGGGTTCCGTTTTCTGTACATGCCTATAAACCACGAAAGGTAACCCCCAAGCTGGTTTTATTGGAATTGGCAAAAGCGGAAAGGTTCCGACTCCCTCACCAAGAACAACCTAAGTTTTTCGGGAAGACAACATTGTTGTACTGTCTACCTTAACCTGAAATACAACCCCAGGTAGATGTTGCTTTTTTTTTTTTTTTTTAACCACCCCAGGTTACACGCATATTCAAATAGTGGGGATTCCCGTGCCCTATTTTCTTCGACGAAATATAATACCCGTTCTTCTCTTCGAAGAGAAGAATGGTATTATATTTCAACTGTGGCAACTAAAAAAAAAAAACAAAAAAAAACCTTACTGCACAGTTGAGTTTGTGTAAGTTTACCATATGATGCCCTTTAACCCAAGACTGGGGCAGAAGGACGAAACTTTTTTTTTTTTCCTCTTTCTGCCCCAGTTTTAGGTTAAAATGCATCAGGAAAAAAACACTATTCGAGGAAATTTATCAACACGCGCCACGAAATGTGGCTCTGCTAACACATTGAATATGCTATCTTGTCCGACAGCATATTATACAGCTGCTAATAGTATTGCAGCAATTAAGCTCGAATAACTCACTCCCAGTGACAGTATATATTAAAGTGGCCCTGCAAAGTCTTTTTGACTGGTTTTTAATTTGCATCAAACCTGAGCGCACTCAACGTTAGTAACTTAATGAAACTTTTCATTTCTCGAATGTCGCTTTATTTTAAAAGTTATAGGCAAATTGAAATTACAAAAACAAGCAAAAAATAACCTCCTTCATGACATCCTTGGTCGCTTGAGTGGCCGTGAACTAGGGGAGGGGTAGTGAACTCACCGAGCGCCCACAGCTGCCGCACTCCGTGTCGACGGCTCGAGAGGGTGCCACTCAAGCATGTTCCGGATAGGCTGTATGAAGCGGATAGCCAGGACGGCTCACATCGCTTTTGCTGCGAGATTAAACGCTAATTTGGCATAACACTTCATTGGCCACAAACGACAGCAAACAAAGGGTAAAAGATCTGTTCAGAACGGAAGCCACTTTGTGCTGCCATACCGCCAAACGGCCAAACCTTCTCGCTGAAGGACCTTCGGAACGCTCGGAACCGGTCGGATCCTCGAGCCCGTATACGACCGCTGCACCGCCACATACATCCGGGACTTTTCTACGCTCGCCGCTCGTCGGTGCCTGATCCCACTACCCATTTCTAGTATGCACCGCCTTTTAACACCGCGTGGTGGCGGGTATGTCGATGGGTCATTTGTTGTTTCCATACTTTATAAACTGCATTTGTTTCTTTTCTGATCTAAAATACTGAACAAAAACTACGCTCTTAAATAATGGAAACGGTACGCGCCACTTATATTTTGTATTTTGACTGAAAAGAAGCTTTTAGCGGCTCTGACCAGTAGTAAGCCCAGGACCAAAGACTTCCCATATCGCACGCTTTCGGCACTGCTGGTCGCCCCCATAGGTAAAGGAGGTTTCCGCGTCGTCCGGTTAAAATATGACGCACTGTAATTTAGTTAATCTTTCCGTGCCCGCTGGCTTGCTCGAACCCCAAGAGATGTGGAAACATCAAAAAAGGTAGACGCTTAAATAGGACTGCAGGGGGCCCCTTAAGGTCTAATGCCACAAATGTTAATAAATGTGTCTAAGTTGAAAACATAAAACCGACCGCAGCAGAACTCAATGCATCAATAGGAAAGAGGAAACAGTAAATAATTAGCGGCGGCTTGTTTCCTGTCGATTTTTATTTTTACCAACATGCTCCTACACAAATTTCGAACCTTATGTTGTTATTTTTGATCGTTGTGAGTTGCAGTCTTTTTTCCTTGTGTAGTCATCTTCTCTAAAAAAAAAAATATCTTTTTCTAACTTTTTTGCATTGACACAGCACTATTTGAAAATAATTATTTTTTTTCAACATTTGGCGAGCAATTTTTTTTTGCAATATTTTGCCAACAAGAGAAGAGAGGCACAATGGCGCATGCGCGTCAGTTCTCTGCAAGAACGACGGTTGCTTCCTGCAATGCTTGGCTAGAATATGGTGTGCCATTGCGATTCACATGTTTACCAGCGACCTCTGTGCTTCCTTGCGCCCCGTTGTTCGGCAGTGCCATGAGATGCTTAGGGAATTTTACGACAGTGTAAAATGCGGGACATTTTGAAGATTTTGATATTTCTTGCGGGACGTGAGCCCTCAGTGTGGGACAGTCCCGTGAGTCGCGGGAGGGGTGGTCACCCTTCCCAGGTGTAGAAGAGAATAAACTTAAAATATGGCGGTTTTACGTGTTGGACCAACGAAGGGCACCTGGAACGCACCTGAGGATTTTTTTTGGCGCAGCTGATACCTTGGTTAATCATCTGCAATAAGCCTCTGTCAGATTGCCGGCACCTCGGCAGGAAAACTGACCCGCAAGAGCATTGTAAAATCCCGAGAGATGCCCCGCCCCTGAAAGGTAACCCATACTTATTTCTGGCCTGATTTGCTATTTTCTTTTGAACACTGAAAGATACCCCACTCCTAGTAATCATAGTGTTCAGACCAATGTTGACCTCGGCATAAGTGCATCTATTTAGCTATGGCGGTATATAACCCTGACTGGAAAGTACAGTCATCTTTGTTTCATTACCCCTTGCTGCGATAACAAGTTTGGCAGACACACATGATCTAAAAATAGTATTTATTTTTTCATCTTTTTTCGATTGCATATTGGATGTTGGCTCACTCCTTATTTTCACCCAATTTTTTTCTCGATTTTGGGCGGGCTATCTCTTGGGATATTACGGTAAACTCGGGCGAGTTGGCGATGCGCAGCTAAATGAAAGTGGCGCAAAAGGAGGAGGCTTAAGTTGAAGAAACATGCACACTGGGCACTTGGGAGCCAGTCACTCTACGCTGGCTTAGATGTAATGTCTCGACGCGACGCACAGTGCCAAAGCCTTGGCGGCATGGCTGAGCTGGTGTCCGCTCTCCGTGCAGACGTGTATGAGCAGCTCAAGTTCACCCTGTACCAAGACGACGCAGTGGCCGGCGAGGCGGCCGGCATCGCCATGGGGCTGGTCATGCTCGGATCCAAGTCCTCCACCGCGCTCGAGGACATGGTTGCTGTGAGTGGCGCCCCACGCTCTCTTCTGTTCCACATCTCTGGCTTTACTCGGACTACCCCGTAGCGTCCGAGGGCGTTGTTGCAGAAAACTTGCAAAGCCACAAATTAAAAAAAAAACTGTCTTTGTTGGGTTGGTGTACCTGCAATTGCGCCGTTTTAACAAAAAAAAGAATTGGCACAGGTTTCGCCCATTCATTCAAGTTTTCTCGTTTATTGTTAAAAATAAAAATTGAAAGAAGATCTATTAGTGGATCCTTAGGGAATGCGTTAGCATGACCCTTCGGAAATGCCACTTACAATCGCCAACCGATTTTTTGGACTTCGTAGGAACTGAAAAGTGTCAGAATAATAAAACGGTTTCAAAAATCGGCAGATTAAAAAGCTTTCCTTTATTATGTCTAAGCGGGCTTAAAAGCCGTCTATCGTGCCTTGCTTCAGGTTTTGTCTCCACTTGGTTTCAGCTAATTTCTATTAGCTTGAGAATCGCTGCCTTTTTATCTAGCGTTATGGTCGAGTACTTTCCGCGCATCTTAGCCACACTTCACGGCGGCGGATGGACAGATGGGGGGGGGGCCATGACGTCTAAACCAGCGTATTCCAAAAAACACGATTCACTGAGGTGAGATAAGAGGCGCAAGTTTACGACTGCAGAATGGCGAATGAACAAAGCAAGATGGTAACAATGATGATAATGACGCGCAGCAAGAGAAAAAGAAAAGCCGTAGCATAGCATCACCTAGTGGCAGGACTTAGCAGTACTCAAGTAGTGCTGCCAAACCAAGCGACCCAGCCAATCTATGCGGAGCCAACATAGAATCTAAAATGGCGGTTTCTCGCTAGTGTTTGCCGCTGATTGTTCGCGACAATTTTGTCCGAAAAATGCAACTTTCCGACTTCAGCTGTCCGAAACATAGGTCGTGCATATGCACTATTTCCATCAGGTAGGTCACGGTTCCTCTTTTTAGGGCCAAAATACTGAACAAGTCCGAATTGTCGGCATCCAAAAAATCGGTCGGCGACTGTAGTCCTCCTTTGGGAAATGCTAACGCTGACCCTTTCACTTTTCTGTTTTGGCTTTCTCTTTTGTTTCCTCTATATTTTACTGCCTCTTTTTGGCTTCATTACGCTTCCCAAGGGTCATGCTAACAAATTCCCTAAAGATCCACCAATGGCTCTGCCTTTAATTTTTACCGTCTACTTGGACCAGCGCTTGTACTTGGTTCACACCCCATTCTGTAGCACAAACCAGGACATGCACTCCGCACACCTGTAGTTCAGAGTTGCCCATAATTCGCGCATGCATTGGCTTCCGCCCTGTGGCATCGCCTGCCTCTCACCTTTGATCTTCACTACTCTCCTCCTCTGCTTGTCGCACTTCCCCCTCCACTGTTCCGTCCACAGACGGACGCCGTCAGCTATTCCCTGTCATGTAGGTACTTACGCTAACGCATTAAAAGCTTGAATCACAATTTCTTCTGCCAAGCAGAAAGTAATTGCCAGTTTGTTTTTAGAGCGCAGCTCTTAGGCACCCGTTTCCAACTTGAGCGGCATCGCCGTCGGCGTTGGCGTAACCGCGCGGTGCCATTATGGGTAAATTTCCCCGCTAAATCTAGCGGAAAAATTTCTCTGGGGGGTCACGTGACTCCCGAGATCACGTGACCCCCCCCCCCCCCCCCCCCCCGAGGTCACGTGACCCCCACGTGATTTTGGGGAGGGGGTCACGTGACCCCACCAAGGTCACGTGACCTCGGGGGGGGGGGGGGGGGGGGGGGTCACGTGACCTTTGTGGCCTTGGCTCCTCTTCCTTAAGAGCTGCGCTCCAATTCGGCGTTACAGGGAGTTGTAAACGGCTTTCATTTTTGTTGTACCAGTACAACTACGTTTCCCTCCATACCTCCTTCAAACAAAGCTGGCCGCCCCATTTTGAATATTTTCTACTTCGTCAGTAGAGGCGGTTCGAGCAGGACCCCAGGCGCACGGGTGTTCCAAAATTGGAGTTCGGTCGTGAGACAGGGAGTTCACAAAAAAGAGACTCGCATTTCTGCTTTCTTTGCCATTGCGGCGTCTCGGGGTAACATCCCGGTAGGACCGCATTTATTGTGACTGAAAAGACTTGACTTATGTGAGACGCATTGCCGGGGGAGAGGGGGGTGCGGGGGGGGGGGGGGGGGGGGTGCGGTTGATGCTGCAAGTTGCATGGTGGGTGCAACGCATGGGTGCGGCCGCACACGTACGCCACAAGCATTGCAACCTGAAAGGGTTGCCGACAGCGAAGGAAATGCTCCCAGAAGGAAGGAAACGGTAAGCGCTCGCATTGGTGGTCTTGAGAGGAAAAGAGTGGCTGAAAAGCGTAGAAAGAGGCATACGATGAGCTAGGCGCATTAATTTTGCCACGATCACTTGGAAGTCGCTCGAGTGTGCGCTAATTTTATTTTATTTTATACAGTGCCGGTGTTTTTGTACAAAATGAAGCTAGAAAGTTTCTATACTCCTCCTCGCCTTTCGATGGACCACAGCAGATGCTACGAGCCGTCTGGGCCAGTCCAATGCTGCGTGAGCGTCGCATGACTTTCGGTGGGGGGGGGGGGGGGGGGGGGGGGGGGGGGGGGGGAGGGGGAGGGGGGAGGGGGAGGGGGAGGTTTGTGCAGCGGTGCGCGGAGTGTGTGGTCACATGATTCGTTCACAGCGCTGGATTGGCTGGGATGGCTTGTATAGCGTGTACTGCGGTTCATCGGAAGGAGAAACGGAGTTTAGATACGAACCTACGCGAGTGGTATTCTCGCGCTTCTTCGCTTACGTCGAAGCGTAGCCAGCGGTACGGTTCCGTCGGAACTTCCGACGTCTGTGTCCATGCCCCGCTGTTCCGAGGCGACCGCAACGCGCGGGACCTTTCCCTCTGATCGTTCGCCGGCCGGATCCTTTCGAAGGGCCGGCAGTTGTTGCGGCGTGCATGGCTGAGCGCAGGGGTGGGGGATTGCAGTATGCCCAGGAGACACAGCACGAGAAGATCCTGCGGGGCCTGTCGGTGGGCATCGCGCTGGTCCTGTACGGCCGACTGGAGGAGGCCGACCCCTTGGTGGACACCCTGGCCGGAGACAAGGCGAGTCCTGTTTTTGTCCAGCCTCCTGTGTCGGCCAAAGCGTTTCCCGACAAACGTCGATGCACCCGCATCTGCTTACCGCCGTGTTTTTGCCGTCTCTTACGACAAGGGAACGTAGTTGGTGCGATCTGTGGGGTGCCCCCAGAACTGCATTTCGCTAGAACGAAGGTCGCGAGGTACTTGCGAGATTAAATGTATGTACTGTCTGTGACGAATGGTAGTTTGTAAAATCGTTAAAAGTTTTTGAGCCAATTAAGTGAGGGAACAAATTAGAAAATATACGGAAATGTCTAGTGTACCACGGCCGCCCGATGGATGGCAACAGTGTCTTTTTTTGTCGATCCCAAGATGTCTCGAGGCACTCGGTTGTAAGCGGTCCAAGTTTTTGAACCGGCCTCGGTGCTACCGGACGTCCCGGTGGTTGGGTGTGGAAGGTTTTCTAAAAGATACCGGCAAAGGACCAAACCAGGTTCCGAACTTGAAAAATTAACCTTTATCTTGCGGGCGATTTTTGAGAAGTCTCCTCGGTGACTTTGAGGCGAGAGCACCGGCCTACGGATCCACAGGTGGTGGGTTCGAAACCCGGCCAAGCTGCCCGCAATATGACGAAGGCATATTGTGGAGAAGGCGCTGTGTAACCGAGCTTTTGGTTGCACGTCAAAAGATCCCCAGATGGTCCAAATTAATCTTCAGTCCTCCGCTGGGGCGTGACAGATGCCCTTCGTTGATTTGGCACGTAAAACCCCCAAATTTGATTTGACTTTGATTTTTGAGAAATTTTGGATGGGAAAATGGTGGTTGACAAAGCCCACGAATGCACAGGGATGGATGTCTCTAACTTTGGACGGGGCCCCCGTTTTGCCATTGAGTTCCAGAACTTATAACTTCTGAACGAGATAATGGTTAGGTTTGAAACTTGGGCATCTGATCCGGACGGCTGCACTACATTTGGGCACAAACTGAGCATTTGGCAACAAATAATTTATTTTTGCACAAAAAAAATATATTTGTGGGGGTGGGGGTTGCGTTCTACATGCCAAAGAGAACTATACCTACTTTTGTTGCCCGCTACAATATTTTGCCAAAGAGGAAATAGTTTTCTTTTTGAATGACGATGAGAGAATCAGTATCACAATCCCGCATACTCTTGTTCTAGAGTGCATCTCTGTCATCTCTCCAATGTTGAAGAAGGTTTTGAGATACCATGGCTCCTTTTTTTCTTCAAATGTTTCTGACCCAACTCTTTCAGAGGTCACTAGGGGCATAGATACCTGGTCGAAGTTTACCCGAAAGCAGAGTACTACTGTATTTACTCGCAAATGAACGCACTTGCATAATGAACACGCACCCTACAACGGGCATCGATATTTTTACTTTTTTCCCTTGCGTTATGAACGCACCTCCGATTTTCAGCCCCGCAGGTCTCGAACTGCGTCCAACTCGTCCAGCCACCAAGCCCAACGAGCCGATTTTCTTTTGCCGCCAAGTGGCCAGGCGAAGCCAAGTATGGCATAGCATAGCATAGCATAGCATAGAATAGCAGCACACTCGGTCGTAGTGCCTGCAAGTGTGTAGTTGCGGGAGTAATCAACAGTGAAACCGAGCAGCGCGCACACCTAACGAAGCTGGGGTTGAGGAATTGCCCAGTCCCAAGTGCTTCGCCCATCGGATGCATTGATGTCGTCCAACACGCCGTTGCCTGTGGTCCGCTTTCGCACAGTGAAATCGTGAAAGTGGTTAGGCCTAAGAACGGTTGCGTTGCTCTCTGTGCTCAGAGAGCTTCGTAGGGCAGCTTTCCTTCGGTAAAGGCACGCCGAAAGTGCCCCTAGAAAGGTTCGCAATTTATAAAGTATGGTTACTGGGGCGCTCCCACCACTAATCGTGGGTGCGCCTCTGTCAGTGGAAACGTGCCACAGTACCCTACCGGGTCATATTGGCAGCTAAAATGACATTTGCGCAAAGTGTGTAATGCAGAAATTATACCCCGCATAATGAACGCACCCCTTAATATGTGTGCCGATTTTTCCGGAAAAAAAGTGGGTTCATTATGCGAGTAAATATGGTACTTAAGGGGAGCGTCTCTGTTTCTCATATCTTATTTGGCTCTCGTAATAAGTCACATAATTTGACACTCGGAAGCAGAGACTAATGCGCAGCACCGACTGCTGCACATTTGTGTTTCGTGAGTTACCGAGCGCCGTTCCAAAGCGGCCGCTATGCATCCTCTCGATGATTGAAGGAACTCTGTGCGTGCAGGACCCGCTGCTGCGTCGGTCGGCCATGCACGCCCTGGCCATGGCCTACTGCGGGTCGGGCAACAACCGGGCCGTGCGCAGGCTACTCCACGTGGCGGTGAGTGCCCACCACTCCTCGAGATGCCGTGCGAGGGACTTTCGGAGGGACCTTGGGAATTGGTTCCTTAGCCTCGCAGTGGGCTCGTTCGATTTACCTGCACCTGTGCAGAAAGCTGTGGGGCAACGTTTAAGTCAAATATCGCAGTGTCCATTGAGTGCAGCTGATGCGGTGGGTGAATCGAAGGAGCCCAGTGAGAAAACGACCTCTAGTATGATGCTCCACGCCTTCCGCCCTGCTTTGGCCGAGACCTCAATGCGTTTCTGAGGTAGGAAGCTGGCGCTAGAGGCAAGACGAGTGAAACTTCTTTCTGCCATCCTTACCTTGTACAGAGGTGGCTCAAGATGGTGCATGTTGTGCTTAAAAATTTCAAACAATGAGCTTGCCCGAGTAAGGAACCTGACTTTGCTACCTCCGGTATCCGTCTGCCAACAGCAGGCGTCAGATTCGCACGTCGGCCGGCAGGTGGAGGCAGGTGAGAGTGGGGCTGCAGGCACCGTTAGGAAACCATGTTTTTGAGCCTAGTGCGGCATGGTGTGTTTTGGTGCAGTCCATGTTTTTACCAACGAAGTAAGTTTATTCAGTAAGTCAATAGAAGGAAGCTTTTCTTCGTTTCCCAGATGTCTTGTGGACACTACAGAATATTTACCTTAATTTATATACTAGTACAGTATTAGGTTATTTGGGCCTATGCTGCATAGGACAAAACGCAACCTTTGTGTGCAGGTGTTCTCGGCAGATTTTGTAAGTCTAACACACTCGCGGTTTATCTGATGCCTGGATCTGTGGATTAGGCCCCCTGCCTGCATTTTGAATTATCAAAATGTCAAATCTGTCAAAAACGAACTTGTAAGCTTTCATTGCACGTTAAATGCTTGTTTTTATATGGAAATTATGTTAACGACACTGTTCGCACAATTGACCAATCACTGCCTTTTTCAGTTTTGCTTCTAGAAGTGAAAAGCTGTGATAAAAACTAGCTACTACAAGTGTGGTTATAATGCAATTAAATGCAAAGTTGCAAGCGAGCTGGACAAGAATGAGGAAAATAATCCCTGGAGAAGGGGAACAAGAGGGACGAAGGACAAACACAAATCTCCAAACACAACTTGGTGACTGGTGCGCGACCGAAAAAATCTGCCTGGTCCGGGTATCGAACCCGGGACCTCTCCATTTCCAGTGGAGCGTACTACCAACTGAGCTAACCAGGGGCTAGATGTTAGTAGAGCAAACAGGTTTTATCAGCTGCCACCGGTCTAACACCAACAAGGGTGAAAGGCTTGCATCTTAACGTTATGATTATAGTGCAGTTAAATGCAAAGGTGCAAGCGAGCTGGACAAGAATGACGAAAATAATTTCTGGGAAAGGGGAACAAAAGAGACAAAGGACAAACACAAATAAGTTGAGGATCCAACCTCTGCAGTGAAATTTGGTGGCCCTTTTTAGGGCAGCTTTAAGTGACATGATTTTAGTTTAAAATCTCCACGGATGCCATGTTGATAAACTTTCTCCCGACATTTTCTATGCACAAAATCATTGTTTTCCAGTTTGCTTGAGTTCTTTCATGTTGTGATCAACTGTGCCAGCCAGAATAGTCGAAAACAGAAGACCGTTGGCTATCACTCAATTTTTATTATTGTCCGTTGCAACTTAAAAATGTAGGGCAAGGGAAGGGAAGGCCAGAAAGGAGGAAGCAGACGAAACGCTGGAGAGGGGAGGGGGAAGCCTCCTCCTCCTTTTAGCGTTTCGGGAATGGGTCAGTTGCACCAAGCCTGGTACTGTGTACCATGCTTGGCACGGTGACGCCATTGGAAAGAGCGAAGGTGCAGGTTTTCTCGGTTTGTTGAGCAGTGAAGGGAGGGCATATTTTTTGTCGTTCAGCGATGAGCGGGGGGGCGCACGCAAATAAACGAGGCGAAGCTTTGCGGTGAAGGCATGTGCAAGGCGACGAGTTTTGGCAGAAACTATTTTACGTTTCGAGTTGGGTTCTAGAAGTGGAGATGTTATAGTGAAATGAAGTGCTGGTGGAACTTTCCGAAACCCTCCAACATTATGCATAGCAACTCGGTACTGCCAAAGTGGCATTTCGTATAATGTGATTAATGTTTGCAAACACCTGTTTTGAAACTAGCTGACGAAAGGGGAAGACGCTCCTCTAACGCTTCCTCGTCGTTGCGCCGTTATTGGCGGGTCGTTGGGGCTCTCCTCTTTTCCTTATTGGGAACACCCGACTTCCCTCTCCTCGCACCATAAGGGGACAGAAGGAGTGTTTTTCCATCTCTGCTACGACGGCAGACAACTACAAACACCAACACCAAAATCCCTGCAAAGGATCGTCCGTAAAGCTACCGCTTTAAAAGCAGATGACAGGCGGGGCTTTTTTTTTTTTGCCGTGACGAGTTGTTCGAGTGCTTGTCAACTTTACTTATTTTTATACAATGCATGGTGTTGGTGTTTTCCTCCAAAGTAAGCTAGAAAGGAGACAGGTACAGACACTTTGGGTGACTGTTTGCTGCTTCTTTGTGTATATTAAGGGAGGACACTACCCAAAAGGGTCAACTTTTGAACCTTTGACTTAATATAAATGAAATTTACAGTGTATACTGGCAGTTGCTAGGCAGAATGCGGTGCAAAGTTTTATTTGCATACATGAATTGTAAAACAAATTATAGTAGTCTTATCAGGAACAAACTGACTTTGTTTAGAAAAACTATTGTTACACAGCTAATGGAATACCTAACATTTTTCTTCACTAGATACACACAGAATGCCTGGAGACTGCAAGTGTGGAAACAAAATTTCCAAAAAGTAATTTATTTTATGCTGACATTGCGCTGAAAGATGAAATGAATTTTTTGCCTTTTATGTCGTCGACAAAATCATAACATCTTTTGTAAAAGACATTCACAAAGTAAAAAAACAATGTAACAGTGGCATTGCCCATATGAATTCCACTTACGAAAAACAATGATTGAGACTTTTCTTTTGTCCCGTTGCCAAACGATAGTTTTCCTAAATTGAAATTTATGCCCAAAAGTGGAACGGAGAAAAGAGCGTTCAAAGTGCTCGAACCTCTACTTTTTCTCTAGCATCCGTGGACCGAAATTAAGCTATAAAAAAATAACTATGCAGTGTAAACAAATGAAACTTTCAGGGAATACTCTATAGATGTTGGTATATGTAGATATGGCATTTTTTAAAATCAACTTTTTTTTCAGAAAATGTTTTTTTTTGGGTAGTGTCCTTCCTTAAATCATTGCCTGCGATATGGGCCTGTCAGGACCGCCCACTGAGACTGCCGACATCCGCGTTTATGCCCTGCCGTTCTGAAGTGCCCGTAGTCCTCTAGATTGTTACATAAACTGTACGCTCCCAGGTGAGCGACGTGAACGACGACGTAAGGCGTGCGGCCGTGGAGGCTCTGGGCTTCATCCTGTTCAGGTGAGTGGCGCGTGGCAAGGGGGGCATTGGCCGCCAGCCCCCCGCTCCCTCCCAGGACGCCCGAGCAGTGCCCCGGGGTGGTGTCCCTGCTCTCGGAGAGCTACAACCCCAACGTCCGCTACGGGTCGGCCATGGCCCTGGGAATCTCGTGTGCCGGGACCGGCAACAAGGTGAGCCCCACTCAGGCACGCGCTCGGCTGCTGGCGGCACAGCTTCGATATTTTCCGGCAAAACATAAACGCCTTCGTCTATATTCGTTTGTCTTGCGCCCAGTGCAAAGTGGGCCATGAGTGGGTCACGCGATAAGCCTGGCACAGTACCAACCGCGAGGCCACTCGCACCAACTCTCACGGAGACCTCCCATGTCCCAGGAGGCCCTGTCGCTGCTAGAGCCAATGACCAACGACCCAGTGAACTACGTGCGCCAGGGGGCACTGGTGGCCTCGGCCCTGATCCTGATCCAGCAGACGGAGGCCACCTGCCCTAAGGTCCGGGACTTCCGACAGCTGTACCACAAGGTGAGACGACTCTCAAGTGCCTTTGCCACTGCGTGTCTTGGCAGGCGGTGGAACCTCTCGCGCTAATTAGCAATGACAATCAGGAGACTGATCTCACCAGCCAGTCCGCTGCCGCATCCAGAGAACTCTAGTCTTTCTGCATGTGTTACAACGTCGCTTCGTGTACGAGTATCACGAGACTGCTAGAGCCATTTTCTGCACTGCCACCTGCCTTCCATGGACTAAGGCGGTGCCATGCATGCACCGAACGCTCGGTGAGGTCGGCCTATTGTACGAAAGCCACCGTCGTTTATATGGATTGTGGCCATTTTAGAAAGTTTCAGAAGAATATTGTTGTGGGAAACATTGCAAGGAGAATCACAGTGACGATGCAAGCGAGTTGGTTCCTCACAAATTGGTGATACAGCATGCAATAAACAAGGACAAAGATGGGCAGTGGACGACACAAGCTCTGAAATTCAACAAAACATTTATTGAAACTACATCCAACGAAAAAAATAACCACAGCATAATTGCATCAACACATGTTTAGAAAGGCAAACTCCTTTAAAGGGATGCTGAACTGAAATCTGGATTCCACAAAACACGGCGGCAAAAGCGTGCCTCGGGACGCTACAAACAACAAAACATCACTCATACAGCAATATCTCGAACAGATGACCGTATTTTCGAAAAAAAGGATGCGCATTTGACAAACATGTTTATGTCTTATTTCTCCGAGAAGGAGAGGGAACGGCCTCACGTCTTCTCTGCTTCGACACCTTGAGGGGGCGAAGCGAAGAGATGAGGAAACGAGTTATTTTGGGACGTCACGTGCCTCGTCTCCTTCGTTCAATCTCGACCTCTTATTCCAAAAATACAGCCGCCCATTTGAGATATCGCCTTACGAGTAGTGTTGTAGGGATTGTAGCGTCCCGCCTACACCTCCTGCATTGTTTCGTGAAATCCAAATTTCGGTTCACCATCCCTTTAATACGGGACGCGTTTTATCAGTCGATTTTCATGGAGATTTGTGAAGTTTTTCTGTAATGAAACACTGACACCGAAAAGTGTTATGCCCATAGGGCACCACATGAAAAACTCGAAAGAAGCAACTCTCTGGCAAGATTTGAACCCACCACCTTTAGATTGTGAGCTAAGTGCTCTCCTGACTGAGCTATCGGAAAATGAGTTTGCTCTTGTGTGCGCCACACAAAAGCAAACACGTTTGTGTGGCGCACAAAGGTTGCGACACGCGGCGTTTTCGCAAGTGCCGTTGAGCGCCTCGTGCGCCACTTCACGGCGTGTGTCAGAATTGGGAGCGAATCTTATTGCTCCATGATGAGGCGGTGCCGTCCAGGTGCCTCTCTCTTCCACCGTGGCTCTTGCGAAGTAGACGGCCACAAAAGGTATGTGAGCTTATCGGGAACGCAAGGAACAGCAGAAGCAGCAGGAAAAACCTTCACCGGGGCCCCGCAGATGAACGCCAATAAGTGGAAAGCCGCACATTCTGCGTTTAAATCCTTGTCAGCATGATGAATCTCCTAGTAATATTTTTTTTAATGCGGATGACGCCGAGTTAACCCTTTAACCACCCGGCCCGAGCTGTACTCGTCATGGAAAGTTCTACCAATTTCGCCAATGACGAGTCACACTTGTCCAGCCATTTTTCTTCCAATTTTTTTTTTTTTTTAAACAATTTAAAAAAAATGTTTTGAAAAAAAAAAAAAGAAGATTTTGGAAAAACAAAAATTGGTGCAAAAAGTTTACAAAAAATTTCGAAAATATTTTTCAAAAGTAACGTGGTGGTTAAAGGGTTAAATTCACTTTTTTGTGCATGTAAATAAACCAGGGATTGACTTACGCATTTATTGTTTCCCTCCCTTTTTATCTCGTACGCCCCAAGAAATTCTCTTTCACCAGCTCTGCGTTGTGGGGATGGTGTCTGATAAGACTGCCTGAGAACTTGGTTGGACATAGTTAGTTGCACTAAATTAATAGTTCAAGTTCAATGCTAGTCTTGTCTGCTTCCTATCTCTGTCCTTCTTTATTGTGTGTTGTATCACCAATTTGAAATTGTAAGGAGAGATTCTTTCCCACCCTTCTCAAGCTCACAATTACAAACGAACCACAATGCCATCGTCGAGCACATACGCAGTTGGGGTGTGGGCGAGATGCTCTCTGTTCCCTGCAGACGGTATGCCCCATGGATGGGACATTGTTCTTAACCTTGATCTGCATTCTTGATAGCTTCTTCCCCAAACAGGTTGGACCCATGCAGGGCTGTTCCTTCTTGACACGAAGATGCATTCCCCCTAAACGCCAAATTGTCCCTCTGCATCGGACTGGGAGGTGTGGGATTGGGGCACTCTTAAGTGCTGCAATGTTCGCACAGTGCAACACTCCTTGGCATTTAAAGGGCTGTTCCTGGAGGACATGCCTCCGTCTGTTAAGCGGAGACAAGCGGACAGAGTGGTGTACTGTGTGGAGAGCCCTTGAGTCAACTCGAAACAGCCTTTTGGTTGTTGTGGAAGGTGCTCGTAGTTTCCCTTGTTCTACTGTTTTTTTCTTCAATGTTTTATTAAACGATGTGCTGAGTCTTAAGTTCACAAAGGTAGTATTGGCAGGTGGCCACCAAATGTTTAGAGTATGGTTGCGGGCGAGACAACAGCACTCCGCGTTGGAAAGCTGTGTAGGGTCTTCTGGCTGCTGAAACATAATGACCGCTCAGCAAGATTTTTCCAGCCGCACCGAAGCCTCTCAATAGGAGGAGGGATGGTGAAGTCAAAAGCCCATTCTAGACATTGGCAATATCTTCGAGACAGTCACAAAATGGGGCTACAAACTGAGTTGTTGCAGACTTGCAAACAGGGTATTAGCGTGCACACAGGCAAGCGCAAAAGGCTTGGGCTCAACGGATCATCCTTTGATGTGGTAACGCAGCTCCGTGAGAGATATCTTGAACAAGGTTATATTAATTATATGGACAGCGTCTACAGATTCAATGTACCTCTTTGTCTACCTTCTGGAGCACAAGACAATGGCTTGCGGCACTGCTTGAAAGGATTGTCGGGAGTTCCCATCCAAGTTGAAGGATTTTGCTATATTCTCGGGTGCCGGACATGGCAGCCCAGAACGAAGAACCTACAGTCAATGGCTGATATCGCCCGGTGAGCCTGTGCCGAGCTATAATGACACGCCTGGGGCTTGTATACCCGGTGGAGACGGGAGCACCATCATGAAAACCGATGCTCACATGGACGAGACAAAGGAGGGGATGGCTTCATGCAGAGTAGAGAAGAAGGGTAACAGACACGTCTGTTTGGTGACAGTTCTCTATCGTTCTCTCCGCCCCACCAAAGCGGCTGTCTCATATTTGCATTATGACCTTAGATCGGCAACCAATAACATACTTACGTTATTTCACTTAAATAAAAGACAAAGAAAACAGAATTCAGATGGGAGAAAGCAAAAAGTGATGATGTCCTGTGTCTACGGGATAAAAATGTATTATACAGTCGACTTTCGTTAATTCAACCCCGACAGGACATGAAGAATCAGTTCGAAATATCCAAAAATTGAATTTAATCAAAGCCAATGAATATAGTCTGACAGGGCACCAAGAATTAATAAATAAGCATACGAATGACGACGATCGAGCTTCGCATCTTAAAATAAATCTTGAAACATTTTGTCTTTTCAAATGTGTGGATTTATGTCTGAGCCATATATTACATCTGATTTTTATTGGATCTTTTTGACCTCACTGAACGAAGACAACAAAAGTGATTCTTTTTGAGAAAATTAATGTTGAAATTTGTACTTTTAGAGTTTTGTCTTGTGCCAAAGGATGTGTGGAGTGTGTAGGTATAAAGTATGTATACTTTCCAAAAATCCCACCCCTGTAGCGGCCAGGAGGCCAAAGGCATCAATAAATAAATAAACTTGGCAAATGGCGGAGGCTACAATTCCAGTGAGTGTGTCAGAGGGAGACATGTGACCCTATCTTGCCAGTTGTTCAGAGTGCTGTCAAAGCCATGGGTGGGTGAATGAGGGTAAGACAGGGCCTCGTTTGGTAAGGGCTGTCAGGTGCTTTACTTCTGTTGCTCCGATTGGCTCTTTGCCAAGTTACGGCGAAATAAAGCATAGGAGGCTTGGAGGAAAGCCATTTCTTTGCACGCCAAAGTGTTGACGGTTTTTGCGAAGCGTCAACACTTTTTTTGCCGTGCATAGCACCGGCCATGTCCTACACGTGTCCAGGGAAATGGGGTTGCTCAAGTTGAGCTTGTGGCCCACTTGCCTGCAGGTGGTAAGCGACAAGCACGACGACGTGATGGCCAAGCTGGGGGCCATCCTGGCCCAGGGCATCCTGGACGCGGGGGGCCGCAACGTCACCGTGGCCCTGCTGTCCCGCACGGGCCACGTCAACATGGCCGCCGTGGTGGGCATGCTCGTCTTCACCCAGTTCTGGTACGCCGCCTTTTGTCGCCCGCTCTCCGTTTGTAGCCCACCTCTTGCCCCTTTAAAAGAATCGAAGTGGACGTAGTGGATGCGATGCAAACTTTATTCTTGCCGCAGACAAGTACGGTGAAGTAGCCGGAGGAAAGCGGCTCGACCAAGCACCGTGCCCTGCGTTCGATGTACAAACATGCGACGTGTTTAAGAAATAAAAAGCGCGCGCGCATCGGGTGTAAAAATTGAAGTTGCGGACAAAGCTAAAGAAGGAGATGGGAACAAGTCAGACGTATCGCTGCCGGTAAGTTGTACCGCGCCTATGTGGCAATCGAAATAATGGTTGACCGGAAGAGGCGGGACACGAGAAATTTTTGGCTTTCCGTAATCACTGACAGAATGAGAAGGGCACGACGTGTCTTTGGAAGCATGCGCTTCGTGCCTCGGGCCGCGCATCAGCTGCGTGTGCGCCCCCTCACGAGACGCCCAGGCGTCGTTGGAAAAGGAAGCCAAACCGTTTGAGCCCTCCCTGCTGTCGTTAGCTCGTTGCGACCACACGAAGTGGAAGAACGGGAGCGCGTTGCCCAGCACCGCCCGAGCGGGAAGGATTGAGCAGTGGGGGCATGCAGGTACTGGTTCCCCCTGGCCCACTTCCTGTCGCTGGCCCTGAGCCCGAGCTGCCTGGTGTGCCTGACGGGGGAGCTGCGCATGCCCCGCCTCTGGGTGCGCTCGGGGGCCAAGCCTTCGACCTTTGCTTACCCCGCTCCACTGGAGGAGAAGAAGGAGAAGGAGCGGGAGAAGGTCACCACTGCCGTCCTCTCCATCACGGCCAAGGCCCGCCGCAAGGAGGGCCGGGACCTGTCTTCCCCTGAGGGCATGGACCTGGTGAGCTAGAAACTACGCCGCCCCAGATCCGTCTTCCGTCGAGCGTCTTGTCGAAGGGGGTTCCCGAACAGCAACGAACGACGTGTCGCTATCTCGGTCGTGGGTCATACAAACTCCCATAGGGAAACACGGGTGTTGCCGCGGAGCTACGGCTGCGTAGAGGGCGTCACAGTTTCGCATACCTTGCTTTGCCGCAGCACACCCGCGTGCTAAGGGAAAAGCAGTTTTCCAATGCGCGACGTTACGCGCAGTTTCTGGATAAAACTGCGGCTAAACCCTGTTGTGGGTCAAGAAAAGCGGGACAAGGTCCTCCTGCAAAGAACTCCCTTCTTTTCACTTTAGCGAGGGAATGCTGCAAAGGATGTGATATAGGAGATGAGTCCACTTGCCTCCTCTCCAGGGTTTGCTCTGCTAGTAGGGAAAGAGTGGAGGGCTTCGTGGGAGGATCTTGTCCCGCTTTCCTTCACCTGCAACAGGGTATAGAATACCCTGTTGTGATAGACTGCGATATTCTTAGGATTGCTGACTTTCCTCTGAGAAAGAACTGGCGGGGGGGGGGGGGGGAGGGGGGGTAATTATGTGGGATTGAACCGGTAACAAGAAAAATGCAGTGTTTACGATCATACATACCAATTCAATTTATTTTGCCACAAGCTTTCCCAAGTGAAATCTATTACCGTGGACATACTAATACAATAGCCCATGCAAGTACGTAAATACACAACGCTGAACTCGATAACATGCATACCTACATACATACCATTTAGTCAAAAGTAAAGCGACAAATCCCGCACCTCTACTCATCCTGCGCAGCAGAAATGAGTAAGCACTTGTGCGCCCAGCTAGCCGATTCTGTTGTGCCCTATAGCTGTCGCTCTGGGACACATGCAGGCAACAATTTCGCTACAGATGTCAGCCTTCCCCGGAGAGAGTCACCGCAAGTTTCAGCATATCCTAGTGCTCGGAAAAAAAAAACCCCAAAAAGGGCCAGATAAAAAAAAAAAAAAAAAAGAAAACGATTTGGTTTAAAAACAATGAAGAAAATACATATTTTCCTTTTACATCATGTGGACGTGCGTGACTGAAAGGAAACAAGCGGAAAAGTGAGAAAGGAAGTGGAAACGCTGTGGACGGACGATACTGTTGTGTCAAGTATTTAGTGTCCCGGCGAGCGGACGAGAAAACAAGACCTGCCAGGTCGAGAGCACGAGCAAGTCATCTCCTTTTATTCTTCGTCCTCTAGAGCTATGATGGCAGCTCGTGCACTCTAAGAGCTCCTAGAACAGATACTACCACGCGCGTCTGTTAGGATGCGATAATTATCAAAAGTAAAAAACACCCACCCCTTGTCCCCGAAGGCACAGACTTGTATTGGGAGGACAGGGAGTGCAGTCCTGTGTATAGTCGGTGAAAGGTTAAGAGCAAAGTGGATGGTCCTCCCATTTCTTTTCATTTTAGCAGAGCGAAAGCTGGAGAGAAGGTGACCTCCTCTCCAGCATTCGCTCTGCTAGAGGGGAGGGAGGTGGGAAGAGATTCCACTTTGCTCTTAACCTTTCACCGACTATAGTAGCCGCGTGCTTTCCGCACCCCCGTAGGTGCTGGCTCCCGCGTGCGAATTGGCTTCCGCCTTGTTACGTTTCCTCCCTCTTGCCTTTGCCCTTCACTGCTCTCCTCTCTACGGGGTGCACTTCCCTTTCCACTGTTATGTCCGCAGATGGACAGTGTCAGCTTTTCCCTGTCATGTAGGTACTAATGCTAACGCATTAAAACAATGCTTGGCTTAGAGACCGAGAGAAAAGTAGCAAAGTCGCTGATCTTGTTCCGAGTGCTTCTGCAATTCACATTTAAAACCACTATATATTATTCGTAAGTGCAACATTGTTTAGACTAGTTTTCTTCGGTTGTTAAGTGACGTTACTTTTGAGTGTGACTGGATCGACATAAAACAATTCCTGTTTGTGGGCGATTGTACCTAAGCAGAAACTTGACATTCTGGGTCTTGGCATATTCCACTAGTATTTTGCATTCATTTCCGACCTTTAGTGAAAAGCCTTCGGTAATTAAGTAGGTAGTATATTCTTTAATTTAAATGCGCTGAATAAAATGTCCTTTTTTAGTTTGAACCATGCAAACTCTGCGATGATAGGCCTGTTTCGGTCAGGTCTGAACACTTCTAGCCTACGAGAATGTTCCAAATACAGAGTATCTAATACATTGTCGAGAGTCTCCTGGCAAAATGGAATAGCTTCAGAGTCAATCCACGACTCGTCAAGAACGTCAGGAAAGCCATAAAAAATCCAATTCAACTTCCATGATAAACTTTCAAGGTTGTAATATTGCGAAGCGAGGCTTTTAATTTGAGTGGTTCATTCAATCGTAGAAGCATTAAGACCGTCTACCTCAGTTTGCAGTTGTGGAACAGAGTAAGTTAGCCTCTACCGATTTTAGCTCGGTTGTTAATGCCTCCATGCTTCACGTCTACTGAAATTTGGTTGCTTTGAATTATTTTTAGCTCCTCAATGAGCGTATCTTGACCGATTTAAAGTCGTCGTAATATAGAGAGGCTTTGGAGGATAAGCTGATGCCAATAATCCAACAGGAGACTCAGGTTAGGTTCAATGTCCCCTGCTAGCATTAGCAACATTTTTATAGTACAGTTCTACATAGAATGGGAGCATCGCTGGGGTACAGCAGCAGAATAAGACATGTATTATCATTCTGAAATACCGATATATTTTTTTTTTTATTAGCCTGCGTACGCAGCAGAAGTGGATTTAGTGACATCTTGCGGGTAGCCCTGCCACTGTGCCCACTAAAGGCCCGTTCACACTCTTGCGACCGAGTACGACTGAGAGAGACGAGATCTCTTAAAACTTCTTAAATGTTTTTAGAATTGGGGAACACACTGGCATTGTGGCGCCACCTATGCGGTGAACCTGGAACTGCATTTCACAAGAGCGAAGGTTTTTGTGGGATTTCCGATGTCAAATGTGCGTAATACCCATAGAAAGGCTCGTTTATAACATTGACAAAAGTTTTTCGAGCCAAGAAGGAAAGGATAATGCGCGAGAAATAAAAAAAATATGCCGGACCGGCCGAGTTTACACTGCTTCCCAATAGATGGCGCCAGTGTGTTCTCTGGTTTAAGAAGTTTTAAGGAACTCAGGTTTAAGAGGTCGCAAGAGTGTGAACGGGCCTTAAAGCGATTCAATATCGGACAACTGATTATACCCTCCCAGCTTGCATTAATGATGATGATGTTGCAGAGGCCAAGAACAATGTGTCGATGCGCGGTAGACCGCTAAACGTGGATGACGATGAACCTTCGATGTTGTAATCGATCACGTTGATCTGGTTGGTGGCGGCAGGTACACCGGAAAGCAGCAACAGCTGCATAAACAACAACAGCAAAACTACAACAACAGATTTAGCGACGTCTTGCAAGTAGCCCTACCACTGTGCCCACTCATGTACAAATGCCTTCTTAGAAATCCTAATGATCGGTTTGCAGTCTTAAGTAATGTAGTCTATGTGAGTATGTTCCAGGAAAAGTTAGACATTAGGCAAACTCATCAATATTTAGATATGTTCACTTTCTCAATTAGAAATCATAATTTTGTGATCTTGTCGAAGTGCCAGGTGGTAAATGCCAGCTCGACTCGGCTTGGCTCCGAACAGCCCCATGCTCGGAAGAGTTAAGGTGGAAAAGGACAATTAAAAAATGTGCAGTCCAAGGGGTCATTGGACAAAGTCGGCCGTTCCAATGTGGGCAGTTCTAAGAGAGCTTGCTTGGTGCAATTTTGCAGGATGAAGAGGCCAAGAAAGGTGAGGCAAGCCCTCCTCCTGAGGAGGCCAAGAAAGAGGGGGAACCCATGGCCACCGACGCCAAGCCGGAGCCTAAGCTGGACTCCAAGTTGGACTCCAAGCCAGACTCCAAGCCAGAGTCCAAATCGGAGGTCAAGTCAGAGGTCAAACCGGACTCCAAGCTGGACCCAAAGCTAGATACCAAGGCAGAGTCCAAGCCGGAATCCAAGCCAGAGGCCAAGCCCCGTCCCGAGCCCAACTTCGAGCTGCTTTCCAACCCGGCCCGGGTGGTGAAACCTCAGCTGAAGCTGCTCCAAATGCCCGAGGGGTCACGTTACCGCCCCATCAAGGATGTGAGTGCCCCTTGCATCTTCCTCGTTGTCGCACAGTTGGCAAAGGATTTTTCTCGGTTCTCGGTAATTGGACCATCGCCACAGTCGGGACGTCTGACCGATAAACGTTTTCTCTAAGTACGGTCCAATCTTGCAAATTCTGCGTCGGTTGGGCGTGGAGAAGTATTGACATTAAATAGATTTTTTAGGTATCCAGAAACGAAACAAAAAGGCGAAAAATTGCGCTCAATGTTCCATCGCATAAATTTGAATGGAAACGTTTTATTAAAAACGATACAAAATCGTTTGACATGGTCACCAATGTCAACAAATGCTAGTTGTGCAAGGCGCTTGGGTGCTCTCCTTTATAACTGATAATGTTCAAACCTGCAGTGCCAGCTTTTACTCTGCATGCTGCCTAGCTTTTGCACACCAATGGCTGCCATCACTCGAATACGCTTGTTCCAAAAAAAGGAAGTGGGTATACATCGGATGTACAGACAGCGTCACCTTGGCCCGGTATGGCGACGCTGTCAGCGTAGCCGGTGTTTGACGTGCTTAAGAAACTTGCTCGAAACTGCTTAGGGTAAGCAACTGCGTAGGGTGAGCAAACTGTGTGGAGTATGCTTGCGGCCGCAACGTGCCATCGCAGAGAGGCCGTTGTAGAACATCTCCCTCACCTGCCTCGAGCCGAGGCACGCAAAGGAGCCTAAGGAGAAAGAGTAATGTTGGCCAAAGTGTTTGTGCGTGCCGCGAGGCGCAAAGGCGGTCGACAGGAGCCCGGGGGAACCTGCTTTTGCGGGGGAACTGATCGGGGCCACCTCGTGCAGATCACCATTGGCGGGATCATCATGCTGGCCGACACGAAGGCGGAGGAGGCCGAGGAGCTGGTGGAGCCCGTATCCGGTACGTTTCCCAGTTCCCCGCGCAGTGCCGCGGAAGCCACGTGTTTAAGGAGTCCCGAGCGTGCACCTGCCAAGCCGCCAGAAGTTAGACGGTCGAGGCACGCGCTTCCTGGGACGCATCTATGCGTTCGGCATCCTCTCCCTCTCCTACCTCAAAAGGTGCATCCAAGTGGCAACGAATGACGTCGCAAAACTGGCCGTGTTGTGCCGAATGTCGCAACCCCGGCGGTCGGTGCTCCGAGTCCTGGCAAAGACGTACCATTGAACGCAAGCGTTGCTATCGTCGGAGTTCACAGTACTGCTTTAAGTGGCAATTTGGGCCAGTTGGTTCATGATTACATAGGTAAGCGCAAAAAAAATGCGGGGACAAGAAAGTAGGCAGACAAGGGTGCACTCATGCGTAGTGGTCGATGTACTGTAAAATTCTCGGGTACGGACACGGCAGTCTCCAATCCCTCAGTAGGCCGGAGCAATTCTGTAGTTATTCAAAATTTGTTTTCCTTTTCTAAAAAAAAACAAAACTAAAAAATTTGGGGGGGTAATGTGTTTTGACTTTCAACCCCCCCTCCGCTCCTGCCTACGCCACTGGTGCTTGCACGTAGAAGGCACTTCCCAGTGCCGCAGACTCGTGCCCACACTGTAGATGTTTCTGAGATAGGATACAAGATTTACAAAAATTTGCCTCTACAATATCTTTGGATTATTTTATGGTATTAATATCCTTTACTTTTCCAACAAAAATAAACTGTTGGTAGTGGAGAAGGGAAAAAGCCATTAAAATCTGCCCGTGTCACTCCAAGCCCTCAAAATGCAGGAAAATGCAAATGCAAAATGATCAGTTAACGAGTAGCCGATGAAAAACATGAATGAGTGGATAAACGGGATAGATAAATATACACTATGCGAAGTCGGGAAATAAAACCTGCGCAGACGAGAAATGGGCACTATACAAGAAACCACCGGTGCAAAGAATCATTAAAGGGTAACAATAAAAGAAGAGAGAAAAAGATTGCAAACAGACAAACGGTTAGCGTTTAAATTTGCCGATCCAGTTAGAGATAACAGACTCCTGGAGGCAGCTTACTGACAGTCTGCAAGGTCCTATACCTTGTCTTTCTCTTCTTTTATGCCTATGCTTTTGGAGCATTGACATTCCCAGTTAACTCGAGAAGCCATTGGTGTTCGTGGTCTTAAAACAGATTACGTGGTAGCCATCTACATTAAAAACCTAGCACTGGAGAAAAACAAATGCTGGTTGGGTTGACAGGCTAGGTGTCGTTTAAATTTCACACCGTCTTCTGCCCGCTTTTGGCCTCTTTAATGCAATGCTTAGCAGTGCAGGGCTAGTCGTATAGGTATTTGTTGAAACAGGTTTGCGTGTTGATTTAGGAGTTTCCGTGGGGTTAGAGGTGGCACCTGGGGCCTCTGGGGAGCAAGTGAAATCTATTAAAAAGGAGCAGCAGTTGCTTCATTACGGTGCCTGGAATGCCTCTGCAACTGGTGTGTTTTCTGCATCCTAAGAAGTGGTTCCCCCGATTTCCGCCTGGTGACGTTGCGGAAGTGTGTCGTCGCAGCAGCGGCGGTGGCAGACACCTGTTGTGCCGTGGGTCGCTCTTCGGCCCGACGTTCCATGGAACCTCCGGCAGCCAAGTGTTTGAACTCCACGACACCTGCATTCGTGCTTACTTTTTGCCCAGACTTCTAGCACCAACTGCCAGGATCGCGACATCCGACGGCATGACACTCCGCCTTTTGCGACGTCATTTGTGGCCACTTTGGGACCGCTTTCGGCGCATGGGTGGTATAGGGTACTAAACGCACCTCTCAGTGTGCCTTCCTGGCACCATAGCTGTGAGAAGCTTCTGTGCCGCCCGGGCTCTTCTCCCCTAGCACACCTCGGCAGAAAGGCGCTGGGAAACGGTTCCGCTCATTCTTGCTGAAACGGATTAGAATGCACCACGAGGGTGCATTTGGAGTGGGAACGTCAAACCTTTTTGAGCGTTTCAACATTGTGGCATCCAAGGCTTCGTGGTACTTAACATTGAGCGTTTCGTGCAGAATTATGCTTGGGCTGAAGTTTTCAATAGTTGGGCAAAAAAGACAGAGTAATGTCGTTGCTAATCTGTGCCTTTGGGCACGCAGCCTGAAGACCTATTTACACACTTGCATTAAGTACCTTAGAGACCAATACTGGAAACTGTTGCGGCGCGTGGGCAAAAACTGATGGCGGCGCCCTTGGTGGGCCTGGAGTCTCTGCCAGCAAAAAAACTCCTCAGAGCAGATTGATTTCACCGCAATGCCTCAGTGAAATCGACACACTCAATATTCCACAGTGACCTCTTTCTGACTGAGGGCCGGTGTATTATCATCACAGTATCATCACAAAAGAGCAGACGATGCCTAAATTACTCAATGTATGCGTTCGAAATTGTACCGCACTTTACAGAGCCTATACAAGCAATACAGGATTCAGTTCAATTTTCATTGCGCACTGCTACTATCATTTACTAGCTGAGACCCCCCCCCTGTTGAAAATTTCTGGCTGGCTAAATAGTTAGAGGTTCCCTGTGTTACGCACAATGCAGTGTAGTGCATGGCAACTGAGTATAGATCCTCCGTTTGCAGCCAGCGTCGGCCAAAGCGATCGGGCGTATGCACTCGTCTACATTACGACAGAGCATAAACAGCCCTTTAAGGTGCAGTTTTGTTTTTTCAGCCAAGAAACAATTCTGATGTCACAGTTGATGTTCTGATGAAAAAATTCTGATGTTACAGACACAATATATCTTGCCTTTTTTTTTTAAATACTTAAACATCTAAAACTCTCAAACTTAGTTATGGCTCAAGTCTAATGTTCTAATCAATCAATATGTCTTATCTATGCTTTGACATTACCGTTTTTATGAATGTCTCGCTTATACCTGTTTTGCCGAAAAGGCAATCTGCCTAATCCTACCGACCTCATCATCAGCTACAAAAGGGAGCAGAAAACCTGTCACAATATATTCACCACCATAATGTCATTATGCTGCGTGGAGATGATTGTGTATATAAGATCTGAGGACATTACCGAAATCAATGTACGCATGCAGTTAATTGACAAAAAACTGAGTTTGAAAGAATAACCTGCCACTTCTCACGCATGCAAAAAAAAAAGAGATTGAGCTCAAAGAAAAGTTAAACTCGTTTGCAAGAATACAACGCACACATTTAGTCGATGGCCAACTTTTTTGACGCAAAATAAATTTCAACATTTGGAGGACGGTCTCACTGGTGAGACCGTCTTTCTAATTTTACTTTAGTTTATTTATTTATTTTTTTTGTTCACACGCGTCTGGGCCCTTTCCTTTCGTCTGCCTTTCTGGTTTTTTTCTTTCTGTTTTTATACAGACCTTGGTTAGAGCCATCAGTCTGTTTATTTCGAGGGTTGCTATGTTTTGTACGTTTTTGACTCTTTCTCAGTTACTTAGTTGCTTACAAACATCAGTCCTCTGCTATGTTACGCCCATACTCTTAACAGCGATTCTTTGAACGCCAAGGCATTTGAACCGTCCGCCAACTTGTTTTAGTAGCGATCACTTTTTGTTTCGGTTTGGGATGAAGGCCAAAAATTTGTTTTCAGTTGAGCTTTATTCTCACTCCTGCAATGTTTGTAAAGTGTTTGTACGGTCATTCTTTTCGTCACTTTTGTTTTGTTGTGGATATCTGCGCATGTGTTTGTGGGCACGTCTGCTACCAATCTGCTTCCGCTTCCTATTAGGCTCTCTGGGTTTACTACGGTTGATTGAACGACATCTCCTCGAAGCACGTTTTGGAGAATAAGCATGTTTCATCGTAGCTTGATTTAGAGAAAGTGGAGCATCAGTTTAGAGAAACGCCGTTTATCGAAAAGGGGATGCTGTTTAAAATAGGCTAGCGTGTGATTCACCGAGGCGTGTTTACCTAAGCCTTGGGGCCCCCCTCCTTTCTCCCCCTTAAACCCGACAGGACGCAAAAAGTTTGGTGGCGTCCAATCTCGAATGGTGTTTTTGTAAAAGTGAATTGACTAAAAGGAGGCTCGTTACCGTTTTCTCTAAACTGGGTTTCTCTATAAATGGATTCCACAAAGGGGGGGGGGGGGGGGGGTCTGTAAACCGGCGTTCACTAAAATGAGATTCGGTAACATGGATGCCTCCAGACTCTCTAACGGTATCCACTGGGCCGACCGGCGCCGGCGACCCCAGAAGTATTTTACATGGGGGGGGGGGGGGCTAGCGGTCGAAAAAAAAAAAAAGGGAAAGAGGAGAGGGAAAAAGAAAGTGAAAAAAAATTTAAAAAACAAAACAACAACATTATTAATATTTTACTGTTTATAGAGGGTTCATACATTCAGACTAGGACGTGTACGCCTCTTCAAAGTCATCAACATTCCAACCCGCTATCGTTTCATGACCCCTTTAATTACTGACTTTTCTTTTTTTTTAATTCTTTTATTTATTTACATCTTACATATGGGCACTTGAACAATAAAGCAAAACATATAACAAAGTAATCTTGGTGGTTAAAGTATTTAGGCCTCAAACTGCCTCGTCCACCCTCTTCTAATAACTGAACTCTTGTGTCCCAAACTAACAGACTTCTGCATACAAATAATACAAGAAATAATTAAGACTAAATGTGACTGTAATATAGCAAACTCTATCATTTTGGGTGCATTCACAGGCATCTCACGAAATTCAAGGAGGTATTTTCAAACTTTTTTCCTACATGCTGTCTGTTTTAATGGTAAAATGTTTCCATTAGTTTTGGAAATGGTCTTGTTTCGTCTAAGTTCAGTAATTTAGAACTTCGCAGCCACTTAGACGTATTATTCTAAACCATAGGTGGCCAGGCTGACCCGTCCTAAGAGCCACAAACAAAACCACTAAACTTCCAAGGGCTGCCTGAAAAAGCAAAGGTAGAAAAAAAGGGGGGGGGGGGGGGTGGTCTAGACATTTTTTTTAGACCACTAAATGAAACTTGAACTACTTTAGATCTATCCAAGTCAAAAGCAGTCCAACTGTACGTACGTATAATAGCGGTAGAACAGGACCAAATCGCAACCTGTCTCAATTTAAAACTTGATCCTTTTCTCTTTAAGAAGTGTTCATGTGACCGGGAGGGAGGAGGGAAAGGGGGGGGGGGGGGGCGGGGTGTTAGGAATACTAGGGAGCCACAAGCCGCAGGTTGGCCACCCCTAGTCTAACTAAGAATAAAAAGTCAAACCTCAGAGGCTCGTAAAAAAACTTGCAGCGATTATATCGCTCAATGGCAGAAAAGGTGTCTCGCACTGGCAGATCAGACACGGGCTCCAGAGCAGTTGCTTGCAGTCACTGCCTCTCGAAAACTTTTGGGGGACATCCCAAAAGCCGGCTGCTTGAAACGCCTGTTAGTGGTCAGAAAACAATGCTTCGGGAGGTTCAGCGATTTTTCTTTTTGCTTGTTTTAAACTTGTCGTTTCGGAGGAAACTTGCCATAAAACTATGCTGAAAGACCAAAAATATACAAAAATAATGTGTAGCATGTATGATGCTCGTGTAGCCTACGGCAACACTTGCTTGCCTTCCAACTAACGGTTGTCCGTACAACGCGTCGAGGGGGCCCGAAGAACTCCGTAGACGTCCTTTTGTCTGGTTTCAATTAGAAGAGACCTCAAAGGGACCGCCAGCGTTGACAGCTTTGCTTCCCCCACCAAGGAGGGTGGGAGGCAACGCTTACATTTTGTTGCTCTGGCACAGTTTTTTACGAGCTCACAAACACCAGCTCGTCTAGAAAAACCGTTTCCCCGTCAAAGGAAAAAAAAAAAAAGTGGGGGTGTGGGGATTGGCACGACAACAGAAAGCCAGGGCCCAGAGGCTCCTCTGAGTTTTGTTCCACCTTTCGGTCTGAGCTGTTCTGAACTAAAACCAACTAGCATATATATGACGAAACTAATCCCTGGAGAAGGGGTACAAGAGGGACAAACGTCTTCGTCCTTCTTTTTCAGCTCGCTTGCACCTTTGTATTTAATTGCATTATAATCATAGCATATATATATTTTTTTTTATTAATTTCCAGGGATTAGCTTTGCAGCCCCTTAGCCCATACCTTAATTCGGCCCTGGGGGAGAGGGAGGCTATGAGCCAAATGCACGGGGGCTCGGCATATTGCCTAGCTCCCCCTGAAAAATGACAGGATCCCTGACCGCCGGGTTCCAGGATCCCTGACCGGCGTGCCCACTTTGAAGTTCGGTCATTTTTTTAGCGATCAACTACCCTGAGAAGGCAACATGACAGTGTTATTGCATTGTGCCTCTCGCATCAAAAGTAAATTTTGAGAACATCATAACTCTAATGGATAAAGCCTTCTTTTCGGTTTTCAGATGCAAACCAATCGTACGTAATACTCTGAATGTCGTTGAGCCTTCTTAATAAAAAAATAAAAATCTGTTTCTATGCACGCTATACTTTGATCGTCGTTATGGTTGTGATCGGTGGGTGTCGCCGTGCAAGCACACCGAACGTAATTAATTGTTTTGGGGGCAAACGGGCCTTGCCGACATCAGAATTCGCAGAGCCTATATTTTTTTATTGCGTTGTCCGCTGGTGAAGACTCCAGGTCCACTAGGTGCGACGCACTCGCCGCGCTCCCATAGGTTTTTCGAGGAGTTTCCAGTATTGGGGAAGCTATATGGTCTTTCCTCACATTTGCCAATGACCGAGTTCTTGCAATCTCTTACGACGAGCGAATGCGCTAGCACCATCTGAGGTGAGGCACTGCATTTCACTAGAGCGAAGGTTTTGCAGTATTTGCGAGATCAAATGCAAGTGCTGTCTACGAGAAATGGTTGTTTATAACATTGTCAAAAGTTTTTCCAGCCAAGAAAGAAAGAATGATGCTCAAAATAAATTGGAAATATACAGATATGCCCTCCATGGCTACCATGGTGCCAGTCTGTTTACTTGTCCTAAGAGATCCCTTTTAAGGCTCTTGGGTGCAAGGTATGTGACTCGAGACGCTGGCATTGAGGATTGTATGCTGAGACAGAATGTCTTCCTTCCCAGCCGGCGGGCCCACCTCCGAGAACGACGAGGGCGACGAGCCGGAACCACCGGAGCCTTTCGAGTACCAGGACGAGTGAAGCACCTCCGCTACGTTACACATCGTTTTTTTTTTTCTTGTGAATACAGGCAGTTTGAACGAGCCAAAAGATTGTGTGTTCTTGCAATACACCTATTCAGAAGTGCACTCCACCTAAAAGCCGCTGGGCCAATAGACCCTTTGCAAAAATCCTAAAAGCCCACACGCACCGCACAACAAATTATGGGAATCTTCGGTACGGCCCTTTCATCCTTTCCTCCACTGTAGTCCATTACAAGTCAGGAGATTAGGGCGAGAAAAAGGAAGGCCGGGGAAGAGGAAGCAAACAGAATGCTGGAGAAGAGAAGGGGAAACCTCCTCTCTTTAGCATTCAGTCTGCTTCCTTTCCCCCATCCTACCTTCTTGAGTTGCAACGGACTATACCGCTTGACATACGCGAGCAGGCGCAGGTGACCGAGGCAACAACGCTCGAGCACCTGAGTCTGACAAGTGCACGGAAATGGGGAATGGGTATAGTGGTTGGCTAGCTTGTGAGGCTGCCCCTTTCTCATCTCTTTGTACCGACTCCTTCGTCTGCTACACCGACGCTTTGTCGAACCCTGCCATGGTTGCTGTGCAAAATAAGTGAATTCGGTGACACTGCAAGATGTGAAAGTAAGTTACGACACATAACGTTTTCAAATAAGTGAATACCACCAAAACACAGACAAGAGTCGACCCAGGGACCACAGGCAGCAGAGATGTGTACGCCGCCAACGACGTGCAACGTTCCGGCAGATGGCTGCAATGGCTGCTGGCGGTGGCTGCCGCGACTCATGCACAGTTGCGGTGACGCAATGAGAAAGCACGTGATCTGTACCGAGGGTTCCCGAAATCCCCTGCCATTGTGGCGCTGTACGTATTGCAACAAATCTATTAATCTAGCCTGCTGTTAACTTCTATTGGAAACCAAAGCTGCGTCAGCCTTGAACAGCCAGTGTCCAAAACAAGCGCTGCATCGGCGTTGGGCAAGGATTTTCATCTCGCACCGCCAAGGAATGGGGACCGCCAATGTTGCTCGACGGGGTTTTTACGAGAGTCTGTGCGGCTCTGTTAGTCGCACAAGTAACAGCTGTGAACTAGAATGTGGACTCCTTTTGGAGCACCCGATAGCCTGCGAGGGCCTGCATGCAACGCACAAATAGTGTACCGGTCAAAGGTGAGAAAGGGCTGTGTTGTGGGCAGCAAAAAGGGAAGCACCGTGTAGGAAAATGCTCTAACATGACTGGCCAGTGCATGGTAGAAAGCTTCTGAAAGATTTTTTGGTAGCGAGAAATACGTTGGAAGCTGGCCTGGTCATCGAGGCTTTAGGTTTACCATAGCGGGGGTTTTTAGATACCATTCTTGATCTTTCCCGCATTATGGGCACTAAAAAATGGGTAGCATTCGGCTCAAAATTACTTACCAATAACTTCAAAACTTAGGAAAAAAAAAAATATATATATATATTTTTTAATGTTTTATGTATGTTTATTAATTTCAAAAGAATGGTTTCAGGAAGTATAATTTATAAACATTGAGGATTTATTTCACAAAAATATTCTCGCCATGCTGGTATCCCTCCAAGTCCTCGGGAAGCAAATTTTCCACATTTTTTAACTCTGCTGCTACGTGCTCATCTAACATGGCCAAAACATCTCGTCCTGGTGTAAGTGCCATTTACTCTAGTCTTGACCTATAGGAGATTTCCAAGTTAAAAAGTATCAATGGCCAGAAGAACCCCCATACATCTGCAGAAAACATTTGGAAAGTACGAGCAATCTTGCTGGTTAAGACCTGAAACTGGGCTTACAATTGGCCCTGCCTAGTAAGGTGAGGTAATGTTGTGTTATCTCCAGCATGACCCCTTAAACAGTACCTCCCACTTTGGATCATATTGCTACCTTGCCGCTCTTTAGTATTGCATGCCTCTTAATTCTCTGCAATTTACCTGTTGAGAAATGCCTGCTACCAAAGTTACCTCGCCCACAAATAATGCAAGCTGGTAGCTGTTGCCAGGCAACAACGTACGTCGTCCTTTGGGTGCCTCGGACGGCATCTGCAACAGCACAAGCCACAACAAGTCGGGCGATCCCGATGCCACTGCCGGTATCCTGCTGAGCAAAATCTGTAAAGTTGCCAGACATGCAAACAAAATACCGCCAATCAACCATTTTGCAAAATCTCCCAAGTGCCCCGGCCCGCACTTGAGGAATCATGGGAACGACGTTTTTTCGGTTCCCTGGTGATCGGTAATTTCAACCAATCCGATGCCTACACACTTTTAAGTGTAATCCGGAGTCATCCTGAATAAGCGTCGTGTAGATTGCAGTGACCCGTCATATCACTTCTAAAATATCTCGTCAATGTCAGCGCTTTTCACACTGCGCATGCAACCCACCCTTCAACCTGACTTAGCTGCAGAAATCACTTACAATATTATCATTCTTGCGATTGTTGTTTTAGAAGGAATTGCTTAAAAAGTCGAGAATTCACAACCAAAAATGGGATTTAGCTCGGAGTCACCAAGGCTGTTTATAGGATCTTTAGCTTTTCTAAGTTAATATCGGAGTCTTTGAAGCTGTACGAGAATGAGAATGCTTATGCGGCCCGACCGAAGCACGTCCATCCCCCTGGGATGTCTATGTCAGCATGGCTCCGTGCGAAGGCATGACGTTGCCATGTGATGCACGTCCCGGGGAGCAGGAGGGATTTCTCCCTTGTGTGAATACCCCTTTAGGCGTGTTTTGATGCAGTGATTCGAGCGCATTTAGGAGAGGTACATCACACCAGGGAGAGACATTTTCACACTTATAGTACAGTTATAAACTTTATATTGCAATAAAAGTGAAAATAAGCAGGCTTTGTGCAAAAAAACATTGTATTGTTACTAAATTGTTGAAGCAATTATGAGAGAATGTCACTTCTACTCATTCAAAGAAACAAAATGTGAATATTCTGGAGAGCTCCAAGTGAATGTTTTGCTGACATCCTAGTATTGTGTGCATAAATATAAAATTGCAACAGCATTACACTGTTGGACTTTCCAAGCTAAACTCTGAAAGTCTTAATAATGGCCTCTATTTAATCTCTCCTCATGGTTGGTGAGAGATCATGCTTCCCGTAACATGGCTGCCTTTTCTCCGCCACGTCCTCGTGAGCGCCAGGTCCTCTTGGTAAGGGGGGCAGTGTCGCTCTAGCTGGAAGACAATAGTAACACTGACGCTACCCGACTGCCTTTTGCGGTGACCTGACCACCCCTTTGTAGGTGAACCCCGCAGTCCAAGACCAGCAACGGGGTGTCTCCGCCTAAAGCAGGGAGCTGCACTCGCCTAGCAGTCCGAGCAATTATTTGAAGTTTCGGCTAGTGCAGTACATATATGATAGGCTTTTCTCCATATCAAATTTGGCAATGGTTTTGGCTCTAAGCGCACATATTCCTGATTCTGGGAGTGGAGCCCCTGTTATGGTGTTCACTTCCACTCGCATCAGCCGCTGTGCTTTTGCAGCTTTCTCAGGGAGTGCTGTTTGCAGCGTCTGTGAGAGTTAAGCTGCCAAGGCTCACTAATGGACCATTGTAACGAGAGGCAGGCAACTTGTCGAAGCACCAACCTTCGACGTGCAAAAATATGGCACAAAAGTGCTTGCAAGGCAGCCTGCATTTTTGTAAACTTGGGAAACTGCAGCTTGGTTTGCTGAACATCACAAGGTATTATGTATTTGCTGAGGCAGCACTTTGAATGGAAAATGTGCACCCTAGCTCAACTGTCGTTATCTGGACTTCGTAAAACTCCTCGGCAGCATGAGGTTGTGTTGTGGAATGGGCACCCCCATTCCATTCCAATTCCATTCCGGGAACTAGAGTTTTCAATTATTCAATTCCTTTGGGGACACTGGGCCCATTCCCACTCCTGGAATGGCTGAATCGTTCCATTCCGTTCCTCTAATTCCTAAACATAAAAATTGGCACTTGATAGCTACTTTGTGCAGCGTTTCCAGCATAAGCAGCATAAAGCTGACATTATCAAATGCATAGACAATTGCAAAAAAATGCTAAATGCCTCAAAAAAGCACTGATCTTAACTAAGCTCACGGTGCTGGATTGCGTGGGGTGACTGGAAGTGTCTGCAGCGGTCCATCGCAAGGTGAAACAAGGTATGCAGAGACTAAAGTCAAAGGAAATGAGTGGGCATTCGCTAGCTTGCTTGTAACCCTAACCCACTTGACTGTAAAACATATAATACAGGAAACGAGCATTGGAACAAAGCCCAAGTAAAAGGCGGACTTGCACAAAAATGTAGTATAAAAAAAAACGTGTGAGCAAAGCGCAAGAGGAGAAGAGAGACGTAAATCTTGTTTTGTTTTAATGCTGAAGCGAACCCAGATTTCGCACTTCAAAGGAGTGCACGCAAATCAATGTGGAAGGCAGCAGGGTTGACCATCTGCTAAACAACGCTCCTCGAACTATAAGAAAACAATAACTGATCATCTTTCGGCCGCATGCGAGTCAATGAGTTATCAGGGCTCTTCAAGTTATGAGTCGCCCCCCGCTGCCAAATCTCAGTCTGTGCGCGCGCGTGCATTCTCCATGCCATCAAAAAAAAAAAGGACAAGAAGGAAGATGAGCTGTGCATGGCGGTTTCTTTCTTTGCCGCTTCCTTCGTTTCTTTTGCTTGGTGCTTGGCCTCTTGTTTCGCTCTCGTGTAACATCAGTGAAGCCCGTCGCCTGCACGTCCGTGAAAGGCACCACCGCCACCCTCCCCCCCTTCCCCCCTCTGGTCCTTGCGCTGATGCTTGTTTTTTGTATTGCATTTTTTTGAGTATAAGTCTATGGCTCCACACTGGCTAGCAGGTTCCCACTCATTTTATTTCTGAGCAACTGACTGGCTCGGCTCAGCTAAACGGAATAGCCCCCTTCCCCCCCCTCCCCCCAAAAATACAAAGATTTGGGCTTATTCCATTCCCATTCCATTTTGAGCAAAAGGCATCTAATTCCATTCCCATTCCATTCCCCTCAACGTTGCCGCCATTCCATTCCCATTCCATTCCGGGGTCTCGAAGTGGCAACTCCGCAACATGTGCTTGACCACA